GCTGGGGAGGGAGCTGTACCGGTCTCCTTGCTGGGGAGGGAGCTGTACCGGTCTCCTTGCTGGGGAGGGAGCTGTACCGGTCTCCTTGCTGGGGAGGGAGCTGTACCGGTCTCCTTGCTGGGGAGGGAGCTGTACCGGTCTCCTTGCTGGGGAGGGAGCTGTACCGGTCTCCTTGCTGGGGAGGGAGCTGTACCGGTCTCCTTGCTGGGGAGGGAGCTGTACCGGTCTCCTTGCTGGGGAGGGAGCTGTACCGGTCTCCTTGCTGGGGAGGGAGCTGTACCGGTCTCCTTGCTGGGGAGGGAGCTGTACCGGTCTCCTTGCTGGGGAGGGAGCTGTACCGGTCTCCTTGCTGGGGAGGGAGCTGTACCGGTCTCCTTGCTGGGGAGGGAGCTGTACCGGTCTCCTTGCTGGGGAGGGAGCTGTACCGGTCTCCTTGCTGGGGAGGGAGCTGTACCGGTCTCCTTGCTGGGGAGGGAGCTGTACCGGTCTCCTTGCTGGGGAGGGAGCTGTACCGGTCTCCTTGCTGGGGAGGGAGCTGTACCGGTCTCCTTGCTGGGGAGGGAGCTGTACCGGTCTCCTTGCTGGGGAGGGAGCTGTACCGGTCTCCTTGCTGGGGAGGGAGCTGTACCGGTCTCCTTGCTGGGGAGGGAGCTGTACCGGTCTCCTTGCTGGGGAGGGAGCTGTACCGGTCTCCTTGCTGGGGAGGGAGCTGTACCGGTCTCCTTGCTGGGGAGGGAGCTGTACCGGTCTCCTTGCTGGGGAGGGAGCTGTACCGGTCTCCTTGCTGGGGAGGGAGCTGTACCGGTCTCCTTGCTGGGGAGGGAGCTGTACCGGTCTCCTTGCTGGGGAGGGAGCTGTACCGGTCTCCTTGCTGGGGAGGGAGCTGTACCGGTCTCCTTGCTGGGGAGGGAGCTGTACCGGTCTCCTTGCTGGGGAGGGAGCTGTACCGGTCTCCTTGCTGGGGAGGGAGCTGTACCGGTCTCCTTGCTGGGGAGGGAGCTGTACCGGTCTCCTTGCTGGGGAGGGAGCTGTACCGGTCTCCTTGCTGGGGAGGGAGCTGTACCGGTCTCCTTGCTGGGGAGGGAGCTGTACCGGTCTCCTTGCTGGGGAGGGAGCTGTACCGGTCTCCTTGCTGGGGAGGGAGCTGTACCGGTCTCCTTGCTGGGGAGGGAGCTGTACCGGTCTCCTTGCTGGGGAGGGAGCTGTACCGGTCTCCTTGCTGGGGAGGGAGCTGTACCGGTCTCCTTGCTGGGGAGGGAGCTGTACCGGTCTCCTTGCTGGGGAGGGAGCTGTACCGGTCTCCTTGCTGGGGAGGGAGCTGTACCGGTCTCCTTGCTGGGGAGGGAGCTGTACCGGTCTCCTTGCTGGGGAGGGAGCTGTACCGGTCTCCTTGCTGGGGAGGGAGCTGTACCGGTCTCCTTGCTGGGGAGGGAGCTGTACCGGTCTCCTTGCTGGGGAGGGAGCTGTACCGGTCTCCTTGCTGGGGAGGGAGCTGTACCGGTCTCCTTGCTGGGGAGGGAGCTGTACCGGTCTCCTTGCTGGGGAGGGAGCTGTACCGGTCTCCTTGCTGGGGAGGGAGCTGTACCGGTCTCCTTGCTGGGGAGGGAGCTGTACCGGTCTCCTTGCTGGGGAGGGAGCTGTACCGGTCTCCTTGCTGGGGAGGGAGCTGTACCGGTCTCCTTGCTGGGGAGGGAGCTGTACCGGTCTCCTTGCTGGGGAGGGAGCTGTACCGGTCTCCTTGCTGGGGAGGGAGCTGTACCGGTCTCCTTGCTGGGGAGGGAGCTGTACCGGTCTCCTTGCTGGGGAGGGAGCTGTACCGGTCTCCTTGCTGGGGAGGGAGCTGTACCGGTCTCCTTGCTGGGGAGGGAGCTGTACCGGTCTCCTTGCTGGGGAGGGAGCTGTACCGGTCTCCTTGCTGGGGAGGGAGCTGTACCGGTCTCCTTGCTGGGGAGGGAGCTGTACCGGTCTCCTTGCTGGGGAGGGAGCTGTACCGGTCTCCTTGCTGGGGAGGGAGCTGTACCGGTCTCCTTGCTGGGGAGGGAGCTGTACCGGTCTCCTTGCTGGGGAGGGAGCTGTACCGGTCTCCTTGCTGGGGAGGGAGCTGTACCGGTCTCCTTGCTGGGGAGGGAGCTGTACCGGTCTCCTTGCTGGGGAGGGAGCTGTACCGGTCTCCTTGCTGGGGAGGGAGCTGTACCGGTCTCCTTGCTGGGGAGGGAGCTGTACCGGTCTCCTTGCTGGGGAGGGAGCTGTACCGGTCTCCTTGCTGGGGAGGGAGCTGTACCGGTCTCCTTGCTGGGGAGGGAGCTGTACCGGTCTCCTTGCTGGGGAGGGAGCTGTACCGGTCTCCTTGCTGGGGAGGGAGCTGTACCGGTCTCCTTGCTGGGGAGGGAGCTGTACCGGTCTCCTTGCTGGGGAGGGAGCTGTACCGGTCTCCTTGCTGGGGAGGGAGCTGTACCGGTCTCCTTGCTGGGGAGGGAGCTGTACCGGTCTCCTTGCTGGGGAGGGAGCTGTACCGGTCTCCTTGCTGGGGAGGGAGCTGTACCGGTCTCCTTGCTGGGGAGGGAGCTGTACCGGTCTCCTTGCTGGGGAGGGAGCTGTACCGGTCTCCTTGCTGGGGAGGGAGCTGTACCGGTCTCCTTGCTGGGGAGGGAGCTGTACCGGTCTCCTTGCTGGGGAGGGAGCTGTACCGGTCTCCTTGCTGGGGAGGGAGCTGTACCGGTCTCCTTGCTGGGGAGGGAGCTGTACCGGTCTCCTTGCTGGGGAGGGAGCTGTACCGGTCTCCTTGCTGGGGAGGGAGCTGTACCGGTCTCCTTGCTGGGGAGGGAGCTGTACCGGTCTCCTTGCTGGGGAGGGAGCTGTACCGGTCTCCTTGCTGGGGAGGGAGCTGTACCGGTCTCCTTGCTGGGGAGGGAGCTGTACCGGTCTCCTTGCTGGGGAGGGAGCTGTACCGGTCTCCTTGCTGGGGAGGGAGCTGTACCGGTCTCCTTGCTGGGGAGGGAGCTGTACCGGTCTCCTTGCTGGGGAGGGAGCTGTACCGGTCTCCTTGCTGGGGAGGGAGCTGTACCGGTCTCCTTGCTGGGGAGGGAGCTGTACCGGTCTCCTTGCTGGGGAGGGAGCTGTACCGGTCTCCTTGCTGGGGAGGGAGCTGTACCGGTCTCCTTGCTGGGGAGGGAGCTGTACCGGTCTCCTTGCTGGGGAGGGAGCTGTACCGGTCTCCTTGCTGGGGAGGGAGCTGTACCGGTCTCCTTGCTGGGGAGGGAGCTGTACCGGTCTCCTTGCTGGGGAGGGAGCTGTACCGGTCTCCTTGCTGGGGAGGGAGCTGTACCGGTCTCCTTGCTGGGGAGGGAGCTGTACCGGTCTCCTTGCTGGGGAGGGAGCTGTACCGGTCTCCTTGCTGGGGAGGGAGCTGTACCGGTCTCCTTGCTGGGGAGGGAGCTGTACCGGTCTCCTTGCTGGGGAGGGAGCTGTACCGGTCTCCTTGCTGGGGAGGGAGCTGTACCGGTCTCCTTGCTGGGGAGGGAGCTGTACCGGTCTCCTTGCTGGGGAGGGAGCTGTACCGGTCTCCTTGCTGGGGAGGGAGCTGTACCGGTCTCCTTGCTGGGGAGGGAGCTGTACCGGTCTCCTTGCTGGGGAGGGAGCTGTACCGGTCTCCTTGCTGGGGAGGGAGCTGTACCGGTCTCCTTGCTGGGGAGGGAGCTGTACCGGTCTCCTTGCTGGGGAGGGAGCTGTACCGGTCTCCTTGCTGGGGAGGGAGCTGTACCGGTCTCCTTGCTGGGGAGGGAGCTGTACCGGTCTCCTTGCTGGGGAGGGAGCTGTACCGGTCTCCTTGCTGGGGAGGGAGCTGTACCGGTCTCCTTGCTGGGGAGGGAGCTGTACCGGTCTCCTTGCTGGGGAGGGAGCTGTACCGGTCTCCTTGCTGGGGAGGGAGCTGTACCGGTCTCCTTGCTGGAGAGGAAACTGTACTGGTCTCCTTGCTGGGGAGGAAGCTGTACCGGTCTCATTGCTGGGGAGGAAGCTGTACCGGTCTCCTTGGTGGAGAGGAAGCTGTACTGGTCTCCTTGCTGGGGAGGAAGCTGTACTGGTCTCCTTGCTGGAGAGGAAGCTGTACTGGTCTCCTTGCTGGGGAGAAAGCTGTACTGGTCTCCCTGCTGGAGAGGAAGCTGCACTGGTCTCCTTGCTGGGGAGGAAGCTGTACCGGTCTTCTTGCTGGAGAGAAAGCTGTACCGGTCTCCCTGCTGGAGAGGAAGCTGTACTGGTCTCCTTGCTATGAGAGGAAGCTGTACTGGTCTCCTTGCTAGGAGAGGAAGCTGTATTGTTCTCCTTGCTAGGAGAGGAAGCTGTACTGGTCTCCCTGCTGGAGAGGAAGCTGTACCGGTCTCCCTGCTGGAGAGGAAGCTGTACTGGTCTCCTTGCTGGGGAGGAAGCTGTACTGGTCTCCTTGCTAGGAGAGGAAGCTTTCCTGGTCTCCTTGCTGGAGAGGAAGCTGTACTGGTCTCCTTGCTGGGGAGGAAGCTGTACTGGTCTCCTTGCTGGGGAGGAAGCTGTACTGGTCTCCTTGCTAGGAGAGGAAGCTGTACTGGTCTCCTTGCTGGGGAGGAAGCTGTTCTGTTCTCAGAAGCACAGCCAGAGGGACACAGTTGCCCACCCCTGTTTTTGACAATAATTGGGACTAGTGCTTTGCCCTGTGTTTTGCTTTTTTTTGTTTGTTTTGGGCACAACTTCCATAGTGTTGCTGGTTATGAATATGTTCTGTGCTGTGACTTCCTTGTAAATATTATTTATTTAATAGTATTGCTTTGCTCGGTAGTCATGCTTTTGTGCTGCTCTGTAACAAGGTGGCATTTGCAGTAAGTGAAGGTTTTGTGTCTGGCATCCAGTCAGATATTTGCTTTTGTTTCTATAATTAACGTTTGCAGAAGGTTTGGGGTTTCACGTGTCGGCGAGATTATAATGGGAAACCCCACCTCCATTTCTATAAATCATCTCTGATCTCTTCCAGACCCAAAGTCAGTGTCCTGGGCTCGAGGGATCAGCTCTGTATACACCCTGAGGTGAAGAAGCAGGAGAATAACCATGTCAAGGTGAGGAAGACGTTGTTTCAGTCTCTATCCTTGGATAATACCAGACTAGGAGGTCCAGCAATCCACCCTAAGAGCAGAGCACCCTGTTTTATAGCACTTCCTTTTATACTAACAAACTATTTCTTCAGCTAAAAACATATTTCAGGCATTACCGTGTTACCCCGAAAATAAGACGCTGTCTTATATTTTTTGGGGCTGAAAAAAACGCACTAGGGCTTATTTTCATGGTAGGTCTTATTTTTTTTAATGTACAACAATCCACACTTATTCATGTACAACAGTCTACATGTATTCATGTTCAAAAATGTGGTGATCAGGGGTGCCATACCTTTCCAAGAGCATTTTGCTAACCAATCGCTGGCCAGAATGAGCGACGCGCACTTTCACTATCGATTCCTTACAGACAGGGTGCATTTGGTATCACTCCGCCTGTGACAGGAGTCGGCACTGTAGAGGAGGCCTCGGCCTATGCGGCTCTGCTCCCTCCGGTGCCGCCTCGCTTCCTCTGGCTTCTTTGGCACCGCTGATTCTCTCCCGTGGCTCTTCAAGATCCCCTTATGGCACCACCGGCCCTGGGAATGGTCACAACTAGGTCTTATTTTCGGGGTAGGTCTTGTATTAAATTCCCCCCTTTGTATAGAACATGATGACTCAAGGATCCTTTGACTACTGCAGCTGTGGGCAGGGAGAGAGGTTGCAGGGACCAGACCTGTAGTCCGGGTGAGTATACATTTTTCTTTTTAGCACCTACACAAATACGACCACATAACCATTGCAGTATGGGGTGTGAAGTGTAGCCCCACTGTCAAGGTTAAGAACATTCTGCTTTAAAATAAAATGTGTCTGTCCAAGGTAGTCAAGAGACCAACACTGACTCTGCATTGTATATAGAACTTACCACATTGTCTGTCTTTCTAGGTCCATATGTGCCGTTCCAAAGTGTCCAGTAGATCCTGTCACTTTTACAACAATGTGGAGGGTAAGTGTTAGTGGATGTGATTCTGGTTATTACCACTAGAAGGGGCTGTGACATGTCAGGATTGGGAAGGAAGGACTGTGTCCGGTTATATTTCCTCATAGGCAGAATCAGTTCTAGGATGAGAAACGTTGAAAGAACAGATAAGGGATGGGGCAGAGGGATGGGTGTTTTAGGGCAAGGGTAGGCAATGTCTGCACTCCAGCTGTGGTGAAAATACAAATTCCGTCATGCCTCTGGGACTCATACCTCTGGCAGTCAGTAGTCTTGCAATGCCTCATGGGGCTTGTAGTTCCACAACAGCTGGAGTGCTGAGGTTACCTACTCCCTGCTTTGGGATATGTGCTTCATGTCTAGATTGTTACAGACACTTCCATTTCTTGCCCCAGAGAAAAGCACCGAGAAGGATCTGACCACGCAGATATTGGACATTGAGGATCTGGTGAAGAATGGCAGCAAGCACAGGTACTGCTGTAATGTCACTGTTCTGTCCTCTCATAACACGCCTGAACTTTATACACGGATTATAAAAAATGAATCAAAGTTTAGATTAAAAAAAATATATATAATTCAGTGTAATTTTTAAATACTGATATTATTATTATTATATGATACTGATCTGTCTTCATATCAGTTTCCTTTAGTCCCCTGTACAGCAACATTCACATCAAGATATGATGGGTCAGCTTTGATCTTAGTCTAATGATGTGAACATGTATACAGGAAGAGACTGGGATTAGTGTACTGATATTGACTGTCCAATCAGCAAACTGCGGGAGGAAGGGGGAGGAGGGGGGAACTTCAGTAGCCAGTTTTTCCTTATAGTCACCTAGCCGATGAACACTACTCTTCTTTCAGAGAAGGGTGATGAACTGTGCACATGGAGGAAGCTTGCTACTGTAAAAGTAAGATACAAATTATATGTGGGGTTTGAAATTGATATTCAGATTAACAAGGGTAAAATATAAAGACTAGGGTGGTTTGTTTTATGAGAGATACATAAAATAGGTACAGTGGTACCTCGGTTCACGAACTTAATTAGTTCCGCGATTCTGGTTGCGAACCGAATCACACTGTGATCAGACCGCGATCTGGACTAGAGGAAGCCACGACCACGTGTCAGAGCAGGGAAGATGGCTGCGGTTGTGTTCGTCACCCGACGCGGAGTTCGCAAACGGAAGCAAAATTTTGCTGAACGTCCTGTTCGCGAACCGAATTGTTAGCGAACAGAAGTGTTCGTGAACCGAGGTACCACTGTATATAAAAATTATTACATCTTCCCCCTAATAAGAAGTAGATGCGTATCTAAACTTGCTGTACACCAGAGCATATCTCCAGACAGTGTACACCGTGATTGGTGTTGGGGGGTACGCTCTTGGATCTGTAAATTGACTTATTTTCTTTCCCCACCTTTGAACCATAAGTTTTCTTTCTTTGAATTGTTTGTGACTTTATAACTTGGTAGACGTTCCCCTACTTGCAAATGAATTTCCATCAGATGGAAGCTTTCTATCCCATTATCTAAGGCTACCAAAGCCCAGCTTGTATAAAACTGCATAAAGGAACATAGGGTGCAGCCCAAATTTAAAACTTGTTTAACTTTTGTTTTGCATTTTATTTGTCCCGGTGCTTTCCCCTTCGGCTGCACAGAGGTCCAACGCTTTCTTTAGCAGTCCAAAACAAACCACAACCCTGCAGTAGATGTGTTCGCCAGCACAGAATATAATGAAGTACCAAAAAGTCTGTGAAGGTTCTCATTCATCCAGGTCATGGTATATTTGTAAAAAAATAAGTCAACTGGACTGTATTTTTCGTGAAGACTGATCACTGGACATCCTGACCAGCTTTCTCAATTCAGAATGACTTGTACTTGTGAAGCGTCTTTAAGAAAAATACAGCCAGTCCAGTTGCCTTGATTTATTTTTTACAGATGAAGTACCAAAAAGCTTTAATATATCAACTGGTGCAACAAAAATTTGTCATACAGTGCATGAAACTGCAGCAATGTGTATAATAATGCAAAGCATATTCTAATACAGCAGTCCATGCATGAAGAGGCATAAAAACACGCCCTTGTAACCCTAAAAGCAGTCACCTCCAGAAGGGGTTCTGATTGGTCGTACATGGGGCATGTAGGATTTGCGTTGGCATTGTTAGATTGAGAATGCTGAATTTCATTCCGATATGAATTGGCTGGTTCTTGCCACTTATGTTTTCACTTCACTGTAGTGATAAATGTTCAATATGCTTTTTTTCTCCTTTATCCAGGGCCTGCCCCTATTACCTATCCAGACATCTGAAGCAGCATGCGGACATCATATTTATGCCTTATAATTACCTTCTGGATACTAAGGTACCAACGTTAAAAACCACATCAAGGAATAATTACAGAATACACAGGATCCGAAATGTATTTTGCTGTGTTAATGTTAGTCTATATTCAGGCAACTTTTTTCTTTTTCTTTTTGTTCTAGAGTCGTAAAGCCCACAATATTGATCTGAAAGGCACGGTGGTGATCTTTGACGAAGCTCACAATGTGGTACGTAAATGCTAGGTCAATCCAATCGTCTTTCAAGTCTCTTGACACTTTTGTTCAATTGCAACGATTTTATTAGTTTTAAAACCAAGAAATAAGCAGAAAGTTCACCCACGCAGGGGAACAATGAAAACCAAAATAGCATCATAACAGAACACAGTCATTTGAAACATGCAGCAATTTTAAGAAAGAGTCGATTAGTCACCACGAGGGCGAGTTATCCCCCGGGCTAATGGTAATGGTGGTAATGGCCATAGAAATATTGTGCTAGGTTCAGATTCCTCAACTGGAAACACTTGAACTTGATAATGTGGAGGGGAGTTCACATTTGCCTACGTAGTTGTATGTATTTACAGTTCTACATAGTGGTTTCTGTTTATTTGTGTATTCCACAAATGTAGGTAGTTGGAGTGAACCTTTTTATTGGTATTGAATAACAACTTTGAATGTGGTGTACAATGGCAGTATATTAAACATTTAAAACTGAAAACATAAGAAAATTGGATGGTAGGTAAAATCATCGTGACTTTACTGGCCATACACATCTCAAATTGTCAGCACCAGGCTTGACACATTTTAATTTCAAACTCGAAGGAGTCGGGTGGAAAATTGTTGGCTAAACAGTGACTGTATCCAAACATAAAAAGAAATACCAAAGGATAAGGAGCGCTACTACCTTATTAGGGGGTGTGGACTAACTCTGCATGTAAAAGATCTCTAAATACATAAAAAAGGAAAATGACTTAGTCTAATTGGCAGCAGTGACATCCAAGGGATACCCGGGTAGCGGCGTCTGGTGTCCCGGTTTAGAAGATCAGGTGTGGGGAGTAGTGGGCTGCATGTCCAGAAACAGGGGAGTTCCACGTTTACACGCGGACTCAGCTGGCCAGGCTGAGCCGCGGCGGGTGGAGGAGGGAGAAGTGCCGCAAACGGCTGAGGGCAAATATGTGTCCTATACCGTCAATCAGATAGGGCGGGGAAGGTCGGGATGCTGTGTGAGCTGTAGATGGTATGAGAGCTCTCACAGGGTCGGTGGCAGTTCGTTGGCTACGCGTTTCGAGGTATATCCTCTTTGTCAAGCCTCAGTGCAAATCTGAATTCAATAGACAGCAGGTGTAGTTTTCTCCATCCCTGCTGGTAGCGTGCATAGTCGAATTGATTGATTTCTCTCAATCAGCCAAGCGACCTGAAATCCTGGAGAGATCCGATGGTGTATGTCTAGTGTAAGCCTTTTCTTGCAGCTCTCCCTCATGTTTTCCCCTTAATTACAGCTCCTCTGTTTTTTTTTTATCCCTCTAGGAGAAAATGTGTGAAGAATCTGCTTCTTTTGACCTAACGCCATATGATTTGGCTTCTGGGATTGACGCTTTAGATATGGTGATAAAGGAGGTGACAGACAGTTTGGAGCAGAAACAAATCAGCGCAGAGTTCAATATGGAGTCCTCTAGTGCCTGTGAGCAGATCTGTCTTCTTTATTTTGTTTCAATTAGCTTGGACTTGTGGATACGACATTGTGGAAGGTTATACACTGCAAGGGGAATTTATCAAAACTGGAGCAGACAAAATCTGGAGCACTTGCCCAGGGCAACCAATCAGCTTCTCTGTTTAGTTTGTTCAGTGGAGAGTTGAAAATGAAAGAGCGACGCTGATTGGTTGCCATGCACAGCTGCTCCAGATTTTCTCGGCTCCAGTTTTGATAAATTCTCCTCACTATCTTTTGTAAGCAAGGTAATATATTTTTCTAGTTTTGGATAGAAGGGGGAAGAATTAAAACTTCTCTGATTCTCTGATTTTTTTTTTTTTACTACTCTCTGAGGCTCAGGGAGATTCGCTTACTGTACTGTAAAAAATCCTGAATAGAAAATCACCGTCACTCGCAGGGATAACAGTGTGAATTCTTGTTCCTTTTATTGAAATCACGTCACATGCATCATCTAAGCCAACGTTTCGGGGGTCCCTTCTTCAGGGCAACATAGCAGATCCTGCATGGTCCCGAAATGTTGCCTTGGATGATGCATGTGACGTGATTTCAATAAAAGGAACACGAATTCACGGTTTTATCCCTGTGAATGCTGGTTTAGTACTTTGAGGCAACATAACGCAATCCGTGTAATAACTGCGAGCACCACTAACAATAGCTTCAAGGTTACAACGCTGTATGGCCTCCTGTGACAGCTGACAGCATTTTGCCCATAGTACCGTTTTGGCGGCCGAAATTTCGGCGCATCCCTAGTGAAAACTCTTTGTAAAAGTCAACTTTACCCTCAGAGGTGTAATGTTCACAGCAGCAAAAGTGTACCTGTATAGTAAATGTCAAAAAGTTTCCCAGCACACTCATCAGCCAGCATGCAAAAAAACTTGTCTCACCGCTCAGGTTAAAAACAGAGGTTTAGATACACGTCTTCTGCAGAATATGTGAAAGCCGCACAGCCGCTGTATAGAAAATGTGACCCGATAAAGTGATATCATCCCTCTTTTTCTGATCAGTTGGAATTTCTTTTGATTGTTTGTTCAATATCATAACATAGCACAATGAGCTTAATATTATTTAAAAAAAAAATTCTAGCCAATTGGGAAAGCAGGGATGATGTCATTGCATGCAGGCAGACTTCTAAAGGAAGTGTTTTCAAAGCTGCTATCTAGGGATTGCTAGAGAGGTGTGTTATGAGAGAGAGGGAGCTTACAACAGTCTCTATGCACAGTCACTGTTACATAGTGCAGCAAAAGGAATGGCAGTAGTCATTTTGTTGCCCAGTGCACTTTTTGGTTAAAATACATTGGCTTGATGTAGTGTAATTGCACGCACTCCTACGTCCATGTCACTTGGCCTACAAATAGCTTACGGTTTGATATATAAATCACACCAACTATTACTGACGATATTATTGGAAGTGTGTAACTCAGAAAATCCAAATATCACAGACTTCGCATTGTAGCCGCAGCTTTGGCTTTTTGCAGCATTTTTTTTTTTTTTTTCTTTGCTCCACTCTGGGCCGCCATTAAAAATCATGGGCCCCTGTACACTATAACTGGTATTTACAGCAACCTACCTGGCAGTGCATTGCTGGGGTGCTTCCATTGTGGTCCAGGAAGGCAACAGTGGCGCCAGCATGCAAAGGAAGCCAACATCTCCTCTTCATTGACGCTGAGAGGAGGGTCAGCAGTTGGGATCTCTCCCTCATGTGCACAGGATGCCAGTTTCTCTCATGCTGTCTCTGAAGCTGGATGTGTAGCGGCGCCCTCATGACAGATTGCAGGTACTGCCGCTGCTCCAGGCAGGTGGTACATTGAGCAACAGACCCCCCCCCTGCACTGTGGAATGACGCTTCACTGGGGCCACCCATGGGCATCCCGTCGGGGCCTAGGCCCCCCACTAACCTGATGGCACCCAGCCTTACCTGTGCCCTTGCCCTTGCTACACTGTACATGACTGATCAGGGCAATGGACAGCATTGACTGATGTTGTCCCCTCAATCTGTTGCTGCCTTCATTTTGGACTAAACGGATGTCAACTAAAGTTCACCACTTACAAAATAATTTTGTTCTCATTCACAGCATTAAATATACAGATTGAAGACCTGGCTAAGATAAAGGGTAAGGCGCTCTCCGACGAATAATATGGGAATAAAGACATTGTTTGGGAAGCTTAGACCTGTCAGAGGGTTGATGTGCAAATAATAATGGTCAAAGGTTTGTGGACACCCCACCTTAGCCTTGCTGATCGGAGAAGCATTAGCTCTAACTTAGCAGGGGGTATGTCAGACCAGTGCAGAGAGACCACTGCTTCCACTCAGAGACCAAGGTCCTTCTATGTAGCTTGCACCCCTTTTGTTTTGATGCACCTGGAATATATTTAGCTCATTGACACTGAAAGCAGAGTTGGACTTTAACTATCTGGAAAATGGTGCGTGTACATTTTTGTTGCATTTAATGGAAGGATTGTATAATCCAACACACATCAACAACCATAATCAGTCTCAGAATTATGTCTTGGTAGCACCTCTAGATGGTGCTAGATGTCCTGTTTTTATATCTTGAAATGGTAGAATTCAAGAAAACCTGAACTAAAGGAAAATTGAAGTTGCCATTGCAAATACTAGATGCCTGGTCATTAGGCTGATTCAGTAAATTCAATACTTGGGTTTGCGGCCTGCTACTAGTGTGCAAATCTGCAGTTCTAGCTTTACTTGCTGTATGCTTGTTCTAGTCAAGCATTTAGGAAGAATTAAAGCTAGAGAAAGCCAGGCAAGCAGCATTTTTAGTCCCCTTTAGGCTGTTTATAGTGATGGCTTGTGCGGTTCTTTCTTTTAGGGGCTCTCCTGCAGCTTGAGAACGCTATTGATGCCATTTCCCTGCCAGCTAACGGGACTGGGGTCACTAAAGACGGGAGGTAATTGCTGCTGCTAATAATATTCTAGGATAATCATATTGTTCCTGTTCAGCTCTCACGATTTGCCAAAATAATTCAACCTTATAATAGACATTTGATATTTTTATTTATTGATTCATTTTTTATTAAATATTTTTATTTTTTTTCTTTACTTTTAGGGGCTTCGGGGAAATATTAGAGGTCTAAGCAGACCCCTGATATTTCCCTTTAAAATAGAAAAAGAGATTGAGAACACAGAGTCCTCAATCTCTTATTCCGCAGCCCCAGTTATCAATGAACAGGAATCCTCTATACTGCGTGTTCCTGTTCATTCATAACATGAGAACATTGTATGTTTACTATATCCACAATCATGGATGAACAGGAGGTGAAGTAGATCACTTCCCATTCAGTCATAACTGAGGATATAGTAAACATGCCATGTCCTCAATTATGTACACACACTCAGCGATCACTGATCACCGAGTGTTTGCACTCGTCTCCTTCCTGACACGCTTTCGCAGGAGGCTGAGCGAGAGGAGCTCAGCCTGCTGTGACAGCGCGGGCTGTCTCCGGCCGCACATCGCTCTGCCAATCTGTGATAGGAGGCTGAGCGGTGTGGGAGGAGAGATGCCGGCCGCTCACAGCGCTCTCCTCCCGCAGCGCTGGGCCGGCTGTCATAGTTTCTTTCCTCCACGCTGGGGCACAGAGCAGCGCCCAGCAGGGAGGAGAGAAAGCAGGGATGCGCCGCTGTATCGGCCAGAAAATGGCACTTTCTGCATTATGCCAAAAGTGCCATTTTCGGCCGATATGTTTCAGCAGGCGATATATCGGTGCATCCCCTCTATAAACCTGTTTTGGTCTATGTTGAGCCATTGTTCAGCACTCATTTAAAGTTGTGTTATTTGGTTTGTAATCTTTATGCCTAATTCTAACACTGCAATTGTACTGGAAGATGACATTATTTTTTTATTTTTTTTAAAAATCTCATAGTTTTTTTATTGATTTTTCAAAAAAGAAACAGCAGTACAAATAAAAAAAAGGTGCTCGTTTGAGGAACAGTAGCCAATGTCAAACAGTACAGAAATATCATGTATACTTTATACCCCTCGCAGCTCACATCTGCTGGTATAGTTCTAGCAGCACAGACATACCGGGTATACCCCGGAGGGTAGTACATATACATGCTGTTTACTCAGGCGCCACCCGTCCACGGGAAGACAGCCAATTGGACCACATAGAATCACATTTTTTCATATTGCCTCTCTGCTGGGAAGTGACACGTTCATAGTCAACCATCCTATCCATTTCACTGAGCCATAACCCCACTGTGGGGGGAGAATTGGAGACCCATCTACGTACATTGACATTATTTTTTAGTTCCCTGATCTATTTGGCGGGAACATTGTGGAACATCATGGACACTTAGGCTTTCCCAAGATAAATGTAGCTCATTATAACTGGAACAAACTGTGAAAACGTTTGGTCGCGTTTAAGCCTTCAGCGTCCATTCTCTATGCAGTTATGTCATAAGTAAATCATTGAGCTGTTTTCCTCTAAGGGCTTATGGGTTTTTTTTTCTGATGGCAGTTACATCTTCGAGCTCTTTGGATCTGTGGGAATCAATTACAACACCAAGGGAGATCTACTGGATCTCTTGGAACAGATCATACAGCACGTTGGCGGAAGTAAGTAGATCCCTGGCAGGCTTATCAAATGGGCCTTACTTTTCTCATTTCACTTATCCACAAAAAGATTTGTGGGCAAACTCCGGCCCTCGAGCTGTGGTGAAACTACAAATGCCAATATGCATCTGCTTCTGGGAGTCATCCCTGTGGCTGTCAGAGTCTTGCAATGACTCATGGGATTTGTAGTTGTAGCACTGCTGGATGGCCGGAGTTTGCCCACCTCTATTGTACAATTTACTACTTCTAAATTCATGTCTTGCCCTCAGGTTCTGGGGTCTTCACCAACACTCTCGGCCTCCAGAAGCTGTCAGATATTCTCCAGGTAAGATTTCCTTTGTACTTTGAAGCTGGAGAATATAAAGTATCTAACCCAAGCATTAGCTTTGGAATGCACATTCTGTATATTCATGTTTAAAAAGCTTAAACATTAAATTAAAATGTGCCACTGCAGGAGGCATCAACACGTATTCATAAAAAAAAACCTAAGCAGGGCAAAGCAATAGGTTTACTGGACTATAGAACATGCCCCCATCTCCTCATTACCATAGCAAGGGAGAGTTGTGACTATCCAGCAGAAAAGAACTGACCGGTCTGACAACACTGCTTGGGATTTCAGTACAGCAGAGGCAATGTGTTGTCAACTCAGACTGGAAGTTAGGAGTTCAGTGGATTTCTGTCAGATGAGAAGTTTTTTGTGTGTAGTTGCATCATTTTTAAAATAAGACCTGGGATCATTTGCATGCATTGCAGATATGTACACGCCATTGCAACGCAATATCATCTAGCTACATCTGTTGGTGGGTGATGTGATTTCCTGGGTTGGTTTTCAGCCAGTTTAATGTGGCTTTTTCCCCCCAAGATAAACCAACATTCTTAGGCCAGACTGAGTCAGGTTAAAGGAGAATTATGAGGCGAGTGATTTTCACTCAGCCTCATAATCTGACCGACCTGTGACAATTAAATTGTCACAGGTCGGCTAAGTAGATCGGGAAGTGAGCGAACACATACCGGCGTTCGCTCACTTCTCGATCCTGTGCCGACAGAGAGCCGTGACAGGGGAGGGACTGGATTCCCCCCTCCCCGCTCCGATCTGCCAGCGCTGCCTGGCGGAACGGACGGGGGAGGGGGCGGGTACAGCTGGATCTGCCTCTAGATAGGCAGAGCCAGCTGTCACTCACGCAGCTGGGTGGATCCAGACATAATTGTGCTAGCTTGTGTCCTCCCGTTACCCTTAGGAGAACTATGGGGAAAAGCCCTAACCCCATAGTTCTCCTTTAACCTTTCAGATCAGGCTTTCATATGGGACCTAACCTCAAATATTGCTTAGTTGGGAAAAGTGACCTGTCTTTTGTATTGCATTTGATGCCTTCCTCTTCTGGAGTTCTCTTTGATCCATGCTGCACTGCAGTTCTGGTATCTGACAGTTGAATAGCAGAGGCTCAGGTTTTAGCATTATCCATGCATCATCTCAGTGTAGAGACCCAGATAGCAAGGATAACTTGCCACAAACTTGTGGTAGGGTTAAATTGTAATTCTTGTTAACTTGCTGCACACATTCCTGGCAGGTTTTAGACTTGCAGCAAATTCTAGTTGATTTTTTTTGAATTTGTAGCAAATCTGCTTGGCAAGTCTACAGCAAGAGTCCTGCCGGTCTTCGCAAGAGCTCTGCAAGTGTTACAGCACTTTTGGAATGCAAGTTGATTTGGAGACTTGCAATGCAGACTTGCTGTAATTGTGCAACAAAATTGTGAAGCCTTGCAAGTCTGCAATAGTTTAGCAAGTCATTTTCAAACTTGCAGCTCAATTGCTTGCTATCTGGGGAGTAGTCGGTGTACCAAGTACAGCCTGTGCCTGGGACTAGTGATGGGCTCGGGCATGTTCGCAAGCGCCTCGTGCCGAGCCCGCCAGGAAGCTGTCAGCGCGCAGAGCCAATCACAGGCACTGTGACATTTTCCCGGTCCGCAGCTGCAGAGATCGGGAAATGTCTCAGTGCCTGTGATTGGCGCTGCGCGCTGACAGCTTCCTGTCGGGCTTGGCACGAGGTGCTTGCAAACACGCCCGAGCCCATCACTACCTGGGACCCAAGGGACTTCACAGAGACACTGGGATTAATTTGAAGGCTAACAGAGGTACTGGAAAGGGACTAGGTGCTTGAACTTCAGTGCTGTTCTTTGAAGTTAGGTTCACTTTAAAAAGATTGGATTGCTTATGTTCCGTAGGTAATATGGAAAACTTGTCATGTAAAAGAAAGAGAGATTGTTAGTTTATTGTTTGTCCTCATACCTGGTCTTGTCTGGTTTCTGCAGATTATATTTAATATTGAGAGCCCTGAAGGTTCTACTTCTGTCATCAATACCAAACAGGTCTCCAGGTACTACAAGGTAAGTGAGTAAGTCCAAAATCATGTCATTACTCTATGAATATAGACAGTGAAGTTGGCTATAACCCTCTGCATAGGTATGTTAGCGTAATTGAATAATAAACTGCCCGAAAGAAACAATCTCCCTTCTTGTGGTACTTGAGGGACTCCAGCAGCCCCTTTTGTTCAGTGAGCAGCCATTTCTCTTGAGTCACCACCTATTGTGTCATGCACCATTGCTGCTTCTCCTATAAGATTTTTAGCTAACTTTAGAAGCAGCATTGTGAGCGAATGTAAATCCTCTGACACTACCTAGGACAAGTGGCATTTGCATGGTCACTGCCATGTCCCTCTACTGAACGAGAGGAGGTAAGGATTGGTCAAGACCAGCAAGCTGGAAAATAAGCATGTCAAGTATTGAAAATACTTGCTGTCACCTGCTATGTGGCCTGATTCTCACCCAGGTCTCTCATCAGACAGGTGGATTGGGGCTAGTTTACTAGAGGCTGATTAGGTCCCCCTTAAAGTTAGGGCAACTCCGTACCCCTAACACGCACTGATATTTGCTTAACCTGCGCTTTCCTGCTGCTCTGTTCCTCTGAGGTCATTTGTTGGAGCTTACACATTATAAAGCTTCTTCTCCCCAGCTCATGTGACAGTGTCTAAGCAAAGTATAGGCAAAGTTCCTCTTTAAATAAATGTGTCGCTCTCCTTTAAAAGAAGGTGTCCCTCTCCTTTTCAATAACACTTCTTTGTTATTGTGGGGTAAGTCCTCACAATTGCTGTGCGAGGACTTACCCCAGCTCTTTTCATCTACTTGGCCCCAACTTTTGCTAGCGTAGAAGATGGCCTTGCATTGCTTATAAACATCATCCAATTCTTGTGTAATTGCCTTTTGCACGAGCAGGTTCACATCCATCCAGACAGCAGCCAGAAGAAGAAGCCACGGGGAGACGTGTGGAGCAATAGCAGAAAGCAAGGAGGTGAGACTGAGGTCATGTTATGTAACTGGACGCAAGCGAACCTAGGGGAGACTGGTATTAAAAATTGCAGAGGAAGCTTGTTGTAATTGATAATATTTCAGCTGACTCTGTAGACTGAAATGTAAATATATATGTTAAGGGTCAGTTAGTCAAACATGTTTCCAATGCTTACAATTTCAGTCTCCTGAGCTTGGGGATATAAATGGCCAAAGCTAATACAAAATGCATAACGTGCAAGTATGCACAGCATATTAGCACATTATGGCAGACAGACCAAGCAAAGTGATCCAGCACTGCAGTGTCCATGCTTCCCTCTATGGCCATGAACTTTCAACGACCAGCGCTTTCGCCTGGTCGTATTCCGTGGTTGGTGTCTTCGGCTTTTTTGATTTGCTGGGCCGGGATGATGTAACTTATACACTTTGTCCCTGCACAGAGTCGTGCCGCCACTGTTCACCGAGCTGCACACGAGAGGACTGTGTATACTCAAAGTAAAAAAAAAAGTGTGACACGCAGGTTGAAGTATTTATTACAGAAGAGACACACAGAGCCTCTTCTGTCATAAAAAAAACCTGCTTGTCAGCGTTTATTTTTCAAAACAGGGTTTACTTCCACTTTAACACCCCTGTCAGTTTTTATTTCCTTTTTGACCTGATTCTGTTCTGCAAACTCAACAGGAAGTCAGAGGAAATGTTCCCAAAATACAGAGAGTTACCCGCTTAGACAGCGGTTCCGAGAACAGTTGTCACCATTGGAAGATTCCCCCTCTATAACTGTTTCCTTTACACCTCTAATAGTTTGGATTTCCCATCACTTTGTGTCTTGATGACACAGAGGGGGAATCTTTCCAGCGGGGGGAGGGGGTTATCCTTCTCTCCCCATGTCTAAAATGAAAGTTTTGACTTTAGATATACTAAAAGCAGAAGTCTAGTTAACAGTTGCACTGGTTTGTATGTTCTGTGTGAGTGTTATTGGGTTTACCACAGTATACAGCTTTTTGCTGAGGTTCTTGACAACTGAGAGTTTCCCTAAATGTATCTTCCTTCCCCGTGTGTGTTGCAGGGAAGGTGCTCAGCTACTGGTGTTTCAGTCCTGGTTACACAATGCACGACCTGGTGAGACAAGGAGTGCGGAGCATCATACTGACCAGTGGGACGCTATGTCCCCTCTCCTCCTTCACTATGGAGATGCAGATGTAAGTTTGTATTTTGCTGGGGAAACACATACAGCATATTGGGGTTGCTTATATGAAAAAGTACCTGTGCTCTTGATAGACCATGGGAGCCCCTAAACCAGGGGTAGGCAAACTCTGGCCCTCTAGCTGTGGTGAAACTACAAATCTCATTAAAGGAAAACTATGAAGTGAGTGAAATTCACTCATCCTCATAGTTTGAGCCGACGTGTGACAATGAAACTGTCACTCGTCGGCTCAATAGATCGGGAAGTGAGCGAACACATACCGTCGCTCGCACACTTCTCGATCTTCTCTCTGAAGAGAGTGGTGACTGTCACAGTCACAGCTCCCTGCTGGGATTCCCTGCTCCAATCCTCCAGTGCTAACTGGAGGAATGGACGGGAGGGGGGCGGGTACAGCTGGCTCTGCCTCTGGATAGGCAGAGCCAGCTGTCAATCACACAGCTGGGTGGATCTCGCCAGTAATGTAGGGATCCGTCACGACTGCTGCGGTCTCTGTAGCTGTAGCTCGCTATATACTGAGCTTTGGTTCACTGGAGGACGCTAGTATATGTCCTCCCGTGACCCATAGGAGAAGTATGGGGGATAAACACTTACCCCATAGTTCTCCTTTAAGCATTGCAAGACTCTGACAGCCACAGGCATGGCTGTCAGAGGCAGATGCATGACAGGATATGTAGTTTAAACACAACTGGAGGGCTGAAGTTTGCCTACCCGTGCCCTAAACCGAGAGGACTCAAATATGCACGTATCAACTTCAAATGAGAAGTCAATGGTTAGCCATGCCTTCCGATCCTGCTTTTTGAATGGGCACCATCACTAAGCATTAGAAATTCAGGGGTGTTCTAGAAAAAAACAGAGTATATGGACAGACACCATTGGCTCTGTCGGCTCTTTACATGGGTCCCAGTACATTTTACAAGGTAGCCTGTCCCCGCAGTCAGAATCTGCGGGGACATGTTGAAATGTATAACTCATGATTAAAGTGGAGTTACATTTTAAAGAATTTAAAACTGTGCTAAAATCTTGACCTACAGTATAATACAGGCATGTGGTGAAATAACATGGATGCTAGTGGCAACGTCTAAATTCACATTCCATCTCTGATGTTTGTAAAAACAAACAAACCGTAAAACGTTATGTTAAATATCTATAAAATGTAAGTAGCTGTTCTCCTTGGAGCCTGCTCAGCTGCAGGCAAGCCAAGCGTCTTCTTCTGGCAAGGGTCGGGGAATGATTCAACATGCATTGACAGGTGTTGGCAGAAATACTCACCGCCATAGGCTGTTCAATTCCCCCCTGACATTACATACCATGGCTCTTCCAAGGAAAGGAAAAAGGCTTCTGGCTTAACAGCACCCCATTACCTATTTATTATCTCTTCATGCTTTGCAAATCATCTGACATTTCAGACAGGGCTTTTGCCAACATTAGCTGAGTGAGGGAAAAGGACCAAGTTAGACAAACGCTGTTTTATTCCAGTTATTATATCTACCTGGCCTCTGTGATTTTTTTTTTGTTTTTTTTTTCCTTGCCCCGAAACCCAATCTTCCTGTTCTTTATAGCTGGTTTATGTATACATCTTTAACTGTATTTGTTTTCCTGTTTTCAGCCCTTTCAAAGTGTCTCTAGAAAACCCCCACGTGATAGAGAAACATCAGATTTGGGTTGGAGTCGTTCCCCAAGGTCCTGATGGAGCTAAGCTGAGCTCTGCGTATGATAGAAGGTTTGTTGCCCTGGACAGAGTGCCGCTATCGTGTCTTGCTGTGTGTGACATCTGTCTAAAAAGAGAATCTGTTAGTAACTAAGGCGCTCTGGTGTACTTGGAGGGGAATTTATCAAAACTGGAGCAGACAGAATCTGGAGCAGTTGCCCATAGTAATCAATCAGCTTCTCTCTTCAGTTTGTTCAGTTAAGCTTTAAAAATGAAAGAGAAAAGCTGATTGGTTGCCGTGCACAGCTGCTCCAGATTCTGTCTGCTCCAGTTTTGATAAATTCCCCTCTTGGTGTCTATGTTTGTTTAAAGGAGAACTATGGGGTCAGTGTTTTCCCCATAGTTCTCCTAAGGGTAACGGGAGGACACAAACTAGCGTCCTCCCGTCACCCAAAGCTCAGTATGCTCGCGGTATACTGAGATGCCGCAGCCAGGACGGATCCCGACAATACTGTCGAGATCCACCCAGCTGCATGATTGACAGCTGGCTCTGCCTATCTAGAGGCAGAGCCAGCTGTACCCGCCCCCTCCCCCGTCCGTTCCGCCAGTCAGCGCTGGAGGAGCGGGGATGGGGGGAATCCCTGCAGGGAGCCGTGAGTGACAGTCACGGCTCTCTGCAGGGATAGATCGAGAAGCGAGCGACGGTATGTGTTGGCTCACTTCCCGATCTATTGAGCCGACCTGTGACAGTTTAATTGTCGCAGGTCGGCTAGAACTATGAGTCTGAGTGATTTTCACTCGCCTCATAGTTCTCCTCTAAAGTGGAACAACACCCTCCTATTCTTTACAGCCAAGGAAGGCGCCATCTTAGCCTCCATTTGGATTGCAGTTGCCATGGTGCTGCACATGTGATCAGCTATGACACCAGCCACTTGAGGGCATGAAAGTTCGGCTGAGAGCTTAAATAAGCACACTGGCAACCATGACAATTATTACCAGGGGAATACCTTTGAAAGTAACTGTTTTGGGAGGCCGTTGAATTGGTGGGTCTAGTTCCCCTTTAAGAATTCTGATTCTGTGCACATGTAGATGATAGAAGATGTAGAAGAGTTTGACACATGCTAATTCAGGAACAGTAGGATCTAATGCAGGGGTGGGCATACTCCGGCCCTCTATCTGTGGTGAAACTACAAATTCCATCTGCCTCTGGGAGTCATGCCTGTGGCTGTCAGTCTTGCAGGGCTTCATGGGATTTGTAGATGCACCACAGCTGGAGGGCCAAAGTTTGCCCACCCCTGGCCTAATATCTTTATATGCAACCCAAGGGATAATAAGCCTGAAAGCCTAATGCAAGCATTGCTGGATCATGCAGCTTCCTTAGGGTACACTTGTAAGAAGAGTATTGTGATGACTACCATTGCAAACCTCTATTGCCAACTAGTTCCCTGGCTGTCAGGCTGATGATCTGCTTCTTAGTCACCTAACTGGAAGAGACAGGGATTTAGAAAACTTCCTGGCACTCCTTTTACATAATGCTTGTTTTGGACATTCAAAAGTTGTAGCCAGGTAGCTAGCATTTTCAATGATTGACTGTCTAATGACAGGTATAGTTTAACCTGCATCAAGTGCACTGGGTGCTGTGTACGGCCATGGTTGGTTTGCTAATGACAGCTTCTCTCTTACAATAAAAAAAAATTTCTCTCTGTTTTTTCTTTTTTGCCATTCTGGGTTTCTAGTGGAGGATTGAGATGAAAGTTTGGTATGAGCAATTCCTTTAGGCCATATAGCAAATGAGACCTATTGTATCTGTTATCCAACACCACAATGGCATGGCTTTGTGGTCATGCCAATGGCTGGATGCCACTCATGTTTTCTGCTTTTCCTCTCTTTCAGATTTTCACCGGATTACTTATCATCCCTGGGAAAGACAATCGGTAATAGTCTGCTGGTTGATGTTGCAAGCCATATATTTCATTGTGTTAAAGTAAAGCTGTCACAGACCGGGGTGATCTAGATCTGAGCAAGTAACGAACACGTGTACGAACACATGTACAAACACCTCATAATGGTCCATGGTTATAGAGATGTTAGCAGCTGCAGTGATATAGATTTCATCCTTTACCGTAAAAATGAAGCTTGTAATGCAGATGCTGTTAATTCTGCTTTCATACACCTAGGGAGTGCTTTTGTGCGACTGGTTTGTTTGCTTTAAAGGAAAGGCTATAGAGCTGCTGCTGATGACCTACTGAAAAGACCAGTTGCCTGGCATCTCAGGCTATAATGCAAACATACCACACGTGTAATCCTGTTTTTGGTTCAGTGATGGTTAGGGATGCACTGATACTAGTATCGGTGCCGATACCGAGTATTTTGGCGAGTATTCGTACTTGCCCAAATGCTCCGATACCTTCCCCGATACCAGAACTTCCGGCTAGTGGAAGATTTTATCTCAGCGGCAGTGCTGAAGGGGAACATAGAGCCAGCTTCCCGTGTGATCTAGAAGCTGGGCAGCGAGTAATGACCTTGCTCCCGGCTTCCTGATCGGCCGGGAAGCCGGCTTCCCGACCAATGCCGGCTTCCCGGGCAATCTGGAAGCCGGGTGGCATGTTATTACCTGCCGCCCGGCTTCCTGATTGCCCGGGAAGCCGACTCCATTCCAGTGTCAGCACCAGTATAAGACAATATATGGTTCTCGTACTCGATAACAAAAAAACGGTGCATCTCCAGTGATGGTCCATGACTCGGAAAGTACCTAAAGCCAGAGGATTGGTATGACAACAAAGGAACTAGCATATTCAAGGCTAGGACAGCCATGGCATTTTTCTCCTATCCGTAAACATCTAAAGCCTAACTCCAGGCTCTGGACTTTCTGTACCCCCACGCAGTATTTTCTGCTATTGTTTTTTTTTAATGTTCACTTTTTCCAGATGTCTTCATGCTGGTCAAATTAGGCAGTCCTCTTCTTTCTTCATAATTTAAATGTTCTTTCTGCTTTACTGCTTTGTGAGTTACTGACATTTGCCTCTGGGTTTACTGGCTGTACTCTTATTTCGGTTCACTGACCGGCAAAGCAAAACTGGAAGGTTAAACAGTGGAATATGACCGATTTCCTTGAAGTTGGTCATAATGCACTAAGGTGTTACATGTCATGTTGTGCATTCTCTCAGTTTACTCGTCTTATCCACAAATCTGGCCCTGTTCCATTTCCTGTATTGAAGTATGTGTGCCTGTCTTTAACTGAAAGCCTGCACGCATCTCCATCTGTCTGCGTGCTTACCAAGTGTCATTGTTTTGTTATACAGGTAATATCGCTCGTGTAGTTCCACATGGGCTCCTGATCTTTTTCCCGTCCTATCCTGTCATGGATAAAAGTCTCGAGTTCTGGAAGGTGAGGACATGGCCCACTCCTCTTATTGCATGTGTTACGCAGCACGTTCCAACACAGTTCGTATCATTCCCTGCTGCAATTGAGCTTACTAGGGATGCACCGATACCACTTCAGATACCAGTGCCGATACTTGGCATTTTCACAAGAACTACCAGGGTTGCAGCGGTTGCAGCTTGGGACACTTTCCTGAAATCATTAGTCTGTATTGTTTTAGAAAAACACATGACAATAAACAAAAATGTATCAGTCCTTGTATCTTTGAGTACATGGACAAGTATCAGTACTTGTACTTGAAAAAATGGTATCGGTAAAACAGAGATGTACAAATCCCAGGAGCTCCGTATGGTCCTTTCGAAAATGACAGCGGCCTCCTAACTTTTTAATTTTTCTCTAGTCTAGTCTTGGAACACGAAAAATATCTGTACTTGTACCGAGTACAGTACTTTGTACCTGAACATTCCTAGAGCTTGCAATTCTACATTGAACTACATTCTACATTGAACACAAGTCCATGGGCGTAGGTAGGAAAGTCCATGGGCGTAGGTAGGAAAGTCCATGGGCTTAGGTAGGAAAGTCCATGGGCGTAGGTAGGAAAGTCCATGGACGTAGGTAGGAAAGTCCATGGACGTAGGTAGGAAAGTCAATGGGCGTAGGTAGGAAAGTCCATGGGCGTAGGTAGGACAGTCCACGGACGTAGGTAGGAGCCAATACATTTCTATGTGCGGATTGTAGTAGGAAATCTGTAGCCACGGGAAAAAGATACAAACTCTGGTCCTGATTTTCATAGAGCAATCCTTACCTCTGCAATACCATGCACCCATACATCATCATGTTTAGTAACGTTTCCTCCGTTCATGTGCAGGAAAATGGACTTTCCTCCCGAATTGATGACGTTAAGCCAATTTTTGTGGAGACCAGAGGCAAAGGATCATTCAATGAGGTGAGAGAACTAAACATTTGATTTTGGCAACCTGCTCGGCTTTTGTGTTTACATCATTTATTTCAAGTGAACCTGTAAGGAAAGAAAAAAAAAAAGGGCCATGATTTTTTAAGGTGTTAAGGGTGGTGGTGGCGGGGTTAAAGCAAACCTAAATTGGCAAAGCACACCCTGCCCCCACCTTTAACGGCATATTATTACCTTTATTTTGCTCTTTTGCCGCTCTGTTTGGCATTGGGAGCCGAAGAACATGCCCAATACTGTTGGGTATGGAGAAACTTGTGACTAAGGACTCATTCATACAAGAAAAAGTGCACGGCCGTATCGGGCAGCTCCCGGGAAGGACAGGTGTTGTGTGTGATTAGTACGCAGCCCCTGTCCTTCTCTATGGGAGTACGCCGCCCTACGCTCACCCCAAGTGCAGGTCCGTGCAGGTGTCCCGGCTCGGACGCAGACAGGCTCCATCCTGTCAGCATACGAGTACGGGAACCCGCACAGACGTGCAGGTTGGGTGAGCGTAGGGCGGCGTACGACCGCGTATTCTCATAGAGAAGGTCAGGGCCTGCGTACTAATCACACGCAGCACCTGTTCTTCCCGGGAGCTGACCGATACGGCCGTGCACAGAGCTGTACATGCCGACCTTTTCTCGTGTGAATGAGGCCTAAGTCATTTTACAGCACTGGGCCAATCGGGACTATCACAAGGGAGTCCATACCCCTGTATGCCTTCGGTGTCTGTAGCTCACACAATGCTTTCCTTTCACTCCTGGCTGCAGGAAGGAGCACTAGCGGAGCAAAGGGTAGGTAGGTATTTGCATCCGCGAAGGTCTGCACTGAAGTCAACCTGCTTCCTCCCCCTGCATGGGAAAGCAGACTAACTTTCAGCTCCGGTACTGCTATCCTTCTCCTGACTTCGCAACCTACTGAGTCACTTACCTTACAGCTAGTAAAGTTTGTGTAATCTCCAATCCTCTCCTGTATGTTCATTTCAGATCAGTGAATAACTAGATAGAAGAACCAAAAATCCGGATAACCTCCAACCCCCACAACCTGCTAACAGCGGATAGCTGACTTAATTTTGTGGTCATCGGTTTTCTAAACAGGGAATTTTTGCTTCTGGAATGCCATGTCTGGAATTAAGATGCCCATTTTAGTATTTTCTCTTCTACACAGTCTCTGTTTGTCTGTCTCGCTGTTAATTCCCTCATTCCGACAACCAAAGTCACGTCATTATCTGCTAACCAGCACACACATTGCACCTGGATGTCATGCAGGGGAGTAGTTGAGGAAGTGGGCAGTTCGGGAGGAGTGAGGTAGAACAAAGGTATGTAGAAGCAATATCCTGGCATAGGGACTTTAGGCCTGACTCAGCTGAGAGTCATGTCCGCTGCTAAATTTGTCATTTTTGGTAAATAATACAGCTTAATAGAAAAGTGCACAACCTGCATCTACAAAGTCCTTTATAAAATATATTACACAGTTGGAAAGTCCTTTTTTTTTCTTTTTTGGTTCAATACACTTTTATTACATTTTGCAAAAGAAAAATACCAGTATACAAACGTTTATTGAGGCAAACTGGAAAGTCCTTTTTATCCTGCTGAATAGCTGTTTTACCTGCCCTATGATTTGTATTTTGTCCGGTCAGTCCTAAAATTTACACAGCTCTGCCATATAGCACGACCCTAATTTTTCTCTGCTGTAGTTACAGAACACTTACAGGTCTTGTAGCTGGACAGGGTCTGTCGGGGGAGCAGAACTAATCTTTCACTCCAGCACTTTGTCTTTATCAGGAAGTAGTCTGTAGGAGCCCAGATGCAGAGGACTTGCCAATACAATTGGTACCTCCACACGAGCAGACCCGGGTAATGCACGGTCTCTCATGTGGTGGTGACCAGCACAGGAGCGGTCCGGTTCGTCGTAGCCAATTCGAAATCCAAAGTCGTAGTCCGCGAGGGTAGCAGGGGTCAGGGGCCGGCAGCAAGGTTCGTGGTCTGAAAGTTGCAAGGTTCGGTACACAAGAAACACACTATGATAACTGATAAGCTCAGGCACTACGAGGCAAACTCTGCAATAACCAAGCACAGAATGACATGTGAGGCTAGCATTTATACCTGCTGACGTCTGGGTGCTGTCGTTTCCAGGGGCGGGGTAGTTCCTTAATTGCTGTGTACTGTACCTTTTAAGAAGATACACAGTGCGCGCATGCGCACTACCCGGTGGCTCCACGCGGCAGAGACATCACAGAGCGGCGGGGAGAGCAGGAGCCCCTGAGCTCGGGGCTGCGGGTAAGAGTCCGTCCGACCCTCGGTCGTCTGAAGGTGATTGTTACAGTCTTTAACTTACAGGTCTGCTCCCCATCCTGTGACTGGACATTAAAAGGAGTAGCAGCACATGAATGAGCTCATCTCTGTCTCATTCTTCTCTCTCCTCCTATCAGCATGCCCCTTGTGAGGCTTCTTGCTCTCTATGCCGGTGGTGACCACCGTAAGATTTTGGAGATATTTTCTGTCTTGTCACATGCAGCCTTTATTGTCTTTCAGGTTATGGAAGCGTATTATGACAAGATACAGGCTCCCAACAGCACCGGTGCCAGCTTCCTGGCAGTGTGTCGGGGAAAGGTTAGTGTAACCCGCTCCTTATCAACCTGATTTAGTATAAACAGCGTGCTTTAGCGTGCTTTACTAAACGCCCTGTCCATTTCCAGGCTAGCGAGGGCTTGGATTTTGCAGATTGCAATGGTCGTGGTGTGATAATCACAGGGCTGCCTTTTCCACCAAGGATGGACCCTCGGGTGGTCCTGAAGATGCAGTTCCTGGATGAGATGAGGAGAACGGAGGGACCTACTGGGAAGGTGCTTTTCATTTTCAAACTTCAGATAGATTTCAGTATGAGATCATCAAAAAATGTACCTGCTTATTTGACTGTAATCTCTTGTCTATGGGTAATTTTAAGAGACCCTGTCATCTTGGCCATTAAGGGTAATGTTCAGCACAGTTCACAACACACAGACAGTTGAATGCATTGGAAGAGAGATGCATCTTTCTCCCTCTGCTAGCTCATATGGCCTTGTATATGCTGTGTTTTCATATAAGAAAGCCCAGCATGCACTGCAAAAACGTGCAATAGAACCTTGGTGTATGTTTATAAAATAAAAAACTGTACAAATGATTAAAAAAATTATCTTATTAATCTGCACACTTTCAAAAATTTTCACAAAAAAAACTGACCACAAACTATTACGGTTTCCTTTTGGGTCCAATTGCAACCAACATGTTTTCATTCGTTTTGAAAAGGTTGGTTACTCCCATGGTGTACTGGCTTGTGGGCCTCATAGCAGTCTCATGGTGTGCTAGGCCCAATAGCAATTGCATGGTCGTGGTGACTTCTGGGCCTAATAGCAGTCACATGGCGTGCTGTCTTCTAGGCCGCATAGCAGTTGCATTGGTGCACTGGTCTCGGGGTCCCAGAGTACTCCCATAGTGTACTGGCTTCTGGATCTCACAGCAGTTGCAAGGTGTGCTGCCTTTTTGCCCCCATAGCACTCTCATGGTATGCTTACCTCTGGGCTTCATAGTAGTTGCATGGTGTGCTGGCTTTTAGGAGTAAAGGTAGGTGTTAATACCTTGATGGATCTTTACTGCATTCTTTGACCCCATTGGGGAAGTTTCCTCTCACTTCCTGTTCCAGGAGGATATCTCTCTAGTAGGATCAAAGATTGCAACCATATTTTCTTTCCCTCAGTGAAATGGTTTGGTTTAAACTGTCCTTGTATTGCTGTCCCACTGCCAACCTCTCTTCCCAATTTAAGAATAAAGGCTTGATAGAAATCTTTACTGTATCCAAGTCTATAAAGAAAAAAGTTTTGTCTGTAGTTGAGCTATAAAACTATCTTTTCTCTTGTAAATGAAAGAGACGCTGTCGTCTTGCTCATTTAAGGACAATTCGAAAGTGTTTTTTGCAAAGGGTTCCCCATCCAAACCCCCTGATACTCACCTTGCTAGCATTCCCCCCGCTGCTCCTTCCTCTATTGCAACTGGCACTTAAAAAAACTGTGTTGTTCGGTTTTGTATGCTAAGGCGAACGGTGAAGCCACTCCCTTGGCTGCCTTTGCACTGACATTGTCACTTTACACTGAACAGTCAAGAGGACAGTGCTACTGTGTACAAACTATATTGTATTTTTTTTTAACATTGAGATAAGTTGTTGTTTTTTTCTTTCTCTGCAGTACTTGTCCGGGCAGGACTGGTATCGGCAGCAGGCTTCACGAGCTGTAAACCAGGCCATTGGCAGAGTCATCCGACATCGGCATGACTACGGAGCCATCTTTTTGTGTGATCACAGGTAAGGATACTTAGCGCACCCATTCTCTTTTACAGGTGAAACTCGAATAATTAGAATATCGTGCAAAGTTAATTTATTTCACTAATGCAACTTAAAAGGTGAAACTAATATATGAGAGAGACTCATTACATGCAAAGCAAGATAGTTCAAGCCGTGATTTGTCATAATTGTGATGATTATGGCTTACAGCTCATGTAAACCCCAAGAACCCCAAATCCACAACCTCAAAAAAGTAGATTGTTACATTCAATCAATAAAACAAGGATTGTACATAGAACAATATCGGACCTCTGAAAAGTACAAGCATGCATATGTACTCAGTACTTGGTTTGGGCCCCTTTTGCAGCACTTACTGCAATTACTTTTGCACGATATTCTAATTATTCGAGTTTCACCTGTATATGTCCGGTTAAAGCTGCAAAAATTCCCCTAATGTTAGTGTAAGGATTTCCCTTAAATGATGTTTCTTAATCCGATCATCTTCTTTCATGTAGTTTTCAGCTGTCCCTCCAGCGCTGCTGCGGTACTCCCATCCAGCGCTGACTCCTCTGTCCTCCTCTAAGGTCCCACGGAGTCTGTGCGGGTGCACACTGCTCCATAGACTTACCTTGTGTCTGTCCTCGTCTCACGGCCGAACAATGAACTGCGCATGCGCCCGCCCCAAGATGCTTTGCGGCCGCCCGAGAAATGTTCAGTTGTTCGGACGGGAGCGCGCGGCGAAGACACAGGTAAGTTTAAACCTTTATTTCAAAAGGTTTGTTTTAAAAAAAAGTTTTTGCATATATCTACTGCTCAACGTCGTAGTTCAAGCCAATGTGTGACAATGAAACTTGACTCAAAAGATCGGGAAGTGATCAAACGCATACCGTCCCTCGCTCACTTCTCGATCATCTCCCTGCAGAGAACAGTGACTGTCAGTCATGGCTCCCTGCAGGGATCCCTCCCCTTTTTAGATCCTCCAGCGCTGACTGGCGGAATGGATTGGGGCGAGGGCGTGTACAGCTGGCACTGCCTTTAGATAGGCAGAGCCAGCTGTCAATCACGCTGTTGGGTGGATCCAGACAGTAATGTCGGGATCCGTCCCGGCTGCGGCGGCCTCAGTATAACGCGAGCTGTAGCTCGCAATATACTGAGCTTTGGGTGACGGGAGGACGCTAGTTTATGTTCTCCCATGACCCGTAAGAGAACTATGGGGGAAAACACTGACCCCATACTTCTCCTTTAAGTCAGGGGAGACTATTTAAATAACTGTCCTTAGAAAAAAAAATCACCTTGTAACTATTTTTAACAATGTTTACATTAACAGGTCAGATCACCAGGTATTTAATTTGACTATTTCCTCAAAGTTGTTTGTGAAACAATGCATTTCTATTTGCCCTGCCAGTCTGATGACCTTCATTTGCATTCTGGGAATGTTGGTGCAGTGCAGGAAACTGGCAATAGGAAGTGAAGGGGAATTGATACAGAACGATAACAAGTTCACAGCTGACACCTTTTATTGACTAAATGACTAGTGTTACGCAAGAGACCTTGAGAAATATCTCAGACATCTATGTAAACTATTGAGGAACTTTCCAACTCTGAGTTTCTGTAAGATAGAAGTACTAACCCTGGGGGAGCCATTTCCTACATACACCCTCCTGTAATGCTGGTTGAACACATTGGGTGTTAGGTCAGATTGAGTTTAAATGAGCTTTATTGGCAGGGCTTTCTCGCGTTCTCTTGCGGTTTCGCTCTCTCTCGCCCTTCCCATCTAGATTTAATTATAGGCTTTATTGCAGTGTTCATTTTGACACCAAATCTCATTTTCGTCTTAGTCTGTTGACGAAAATCACTTTTTATTTTTAGTCTCATTTTAGTCAACAGATTAATTTTTATCCTAGCCTAGTTTAGTTTAATGAAATTCAAGTCGATTGTAGTCAACAAAAATTGAATTTATTTTTAGTGTAATGCATTATTTAAGCATTTTTTCTAACATTTCCAAACTCATTTCATTATATAGCCCTGGAATTATTTTTCATTTTATTTAACTTTTATTGTTTACATTTTTTTTTTTACTTCATTGTTATCACATGGGGGGGGGGTCTCACAAGCTGCTGATGTCAGCACAGCAGGCAGTGGCTTGGAGCAATAGACAGCCATTGGATTTTTGTAATTGCAATAGCCAACAGCAGGCTGGCTATTGCACCCGCCCTCTACCTGCTGTCAATCAGCGGAAGAGGGAACTGGAGGAGAAAGTTCTCCATCAGGTCCTCCTCTGCTGATTGACAGTGGATGGGTGCAATAGCCAGCCTGCAATTGGCTATTGCATTTAAAAATGTCCAATAGCAGACAGGGTATGGCAGCGTAGGCACAGTGGGCGGGGCAGAGGAGGAACGGGGCGGTGAAGTGTAAAAACAGGGCGGCAGCAGAGGCATGGATTTCGTTTTAATCCTGTTAACTAGAGCTGCAGCTAACGATTATTTTCAAAATCGATTAGTTAGCCGATTATTAAGTTCGATTAATCGGATAAACAATAAAATACATTTTAAAAAATGGCTCCAGTGATGGGACTACTAGTTTGTATTGAGATTGTAGTCCATCACAGGAGCAAGCTTGGAGCGGTGGAAGTAAAAAAGAAAAAAAATAGCGTGGTGTGCAATATAGTGAAATGGAATGGCGCGCAGCGTGTGTGGAGCCGTGAACAGGGCCAACTGATCGGAAGCCGATTAATCGATTATTGAAAAAGTTGACAACTTTTTCAATAATCGATTATAATCGATTATGTCGATTAGTTGTTGCAGCCCTACTGTTAACGAAAATTGGGTACCAAATGAAAATCGTTTTCGTCCCATTAACCACTTATGGGCCGCAATACGTCTATAGACAGCGGCCCATTAAAGTGGTTAACGCCGTTCTTGTTACCACTTTTAACAGCCAGCGATGGCTGTTAACGTACAGGCGATCCGGCGTCTGTAAAGCCGCCAGATCGTTTGTACCGTGCGACGGCCCCCCACTGTACCGCGTTGTCTTCCCCAGGCACCCCAGTCCTCGTGCGGCGCCCGGGAATGGCTCGGCGGGTCTCCCGCATTGATCGGAGAGACATTCAGCAGTTTCCAACCTGTACACAGTCTCCAGCTCTTAGAGCCAGGAGATGAAGCTGGGGAAGCAAATCTCTGCTTCCAAATACTGTACATTTAAACATTGAATGCATGCATATAAATTTGTGTTTTTAAATTATAAATGGGAGCCTCAGTTACCTAAAATTGTGTATATGACGAGGGTAAACGTTTTCACTTTAATATCGTTTTGTAACCTCACAATATAAACTTAAACATGACCAGTAACAGCAGTCGTTCTTCAGATTCATTGGTTTCATTTTTTACACTGGCTGCTCCTTTTGTGGGTTTTTTCCCCCCACCATTCTTACTCATAAACTAGAGTTTTACATCTCCCCTGAGGATACTGGCTGACTAACTGACCAATATTTTATCTTAGGAAATTATCGCATTTGTTTTAATAGTATCATGCTTAGCTCGAAGACATGAATCAGAACAAGGTAGGCATGTCAGTGATGACATGAAATCTCAGTTCTTAGGGACCACATTTCACACGTTGCTATTTGTTAAAGGGCTCATAAAGCTGAACTCTGGAATACACAAATACTGTCCTCATACAAGAGTCATGTGTATTCTTCTTTGAAACTTGGTGTAATTTGTGTATTTCTTTCAGAACTGTGCAGTAATCCAGTGTGAGACTTGGAGCTTCCTGTAATAACGAATGAAGGTGACTGGTCTTGTCTCCACCCCTCCTGTAATAGTGACCGGTCACTGCTGTTCTCTCTCCTTGCGCAGGGTGACTGGTCTTGTCTCCACCCCCTCCTGTAATAAAGACCGGTCACTGCTGCTCTCTCCTTGTGCAGGGTGATTGGTCTTGTCTTTGCGACCTCCTGTAATAAAGACCGGTCACTGTTGCTCTCTCTCCTTGTGCAGGGTGACTGGTCTTGTCTTTGCGACCTCCTGTAATAAAGACCGGTCACTGCTGCTCTCTCTCCGTGTGCAGGGTGACTGGTCTTGTCTCCACTCCCTCCTGTAATAAAGACTGGTCACTGCTGCTCTCTGTCCTTGAACAAAGACAGGTCAATACTGCTCTCTCTCTCCTTGAACAAAGATCTGTTACTGCTGCTAATCTTTTTATTAAAATACTCAAGCAACGTTTATATAAAAAAGTAACAAAACATAACCATAATATTAACTGAACAGAGATCAAAACATAAAAAATATTCAGTACACCACAAAGTTATATACCTATACACAGACAGGCAAAGCTTCATTGCTGCATAAACAGCCTCACGCCTAAAGATCCACCAACTATTTACATGAAGCAGCAGAGAAGGCCTAAGAGGCCCAACCCGTCACCTATGCACGCAGCCATTTTTCAAAAATCTTAAAGAACAAAATCTAGGGTGATAAGAGACAGACAGCCACACACCCGGAGAGAGACTCCTGCAAGTCAGGGAGGCCTGATACCCCTCCACGCCTTCAACCAAGCCCCCTGCCTCCACTTGTCTGTCTCAAGCACCCGAATCTTCCCCACCGCATGCAGAATGTCACTCACCACCACCTGGACAGGAAGGATTTCACTGCTGCTCTCCCTCCTTGTGCAGGATGATTGGTCTTGTGTCCGCCCCCTCCTGTAATAAAGACAGCTCACTGCTGCTCTCTCTCCTTGCGCAGGGTAACTGGACTTGTATCCACCCCCTCCTGTAATAAAGACTTGTTACTGCTGCTCTCTCTACTACTGCAGAGTGACTGGTCTTCTTTCTGCCCCTTCCTGTAGTTTTTTGCTGGCAGCCTGTAGTGATTGGGGCCTGATGGGCTTCTTGTACAGCTCTGCTCAGGCTATGTGCAACACAATGATGATGTCCACACTACTTTTACATGATTTACAACTTGCAAAGGCATTTGGTGAACACAAAAGTGGGTTTACAGTCTCCTTTGTGGCTTTTGAGTAATATATTTAATTGAGAGTTTTTGTGCCATGAGTTCAGATTTATCCACCCCTTTCCTATTGCGCGGTCACTAATCACATTTTAATCAATTCTCAATTGAGAGCTCTGCAGCTGGATGATATGTGGCCAAGGGATGAGATTTGTTTTTAGGATGATACACTAAATTGTTGGGTCTTCCTAAACCTTTCCTTAAATGGTGTTCATGTGACTCCATGTCTGTTCTCCAGTGCTGGTGGCTGAAGAAAGCCTCTGCAGGTATGTACATTTTTGACAATCTATTGCCTGTAGATTTGTGATAGGACTGCAAAGGAGTGCAAAGTTAGTATTTGTGCCAAACATAAGTAGTATTTGTGCTGACATAACTGAAGTAGGCTGTGTGATTTATTTATATTTATTTCTTCTTTTGCCCAGGTTCACGCATAGCAATGCTCACTCACAACTTCCCTCCTGGGTCCGTCCATACGTACGCGTTTATGACAATTTTGGTCATATCATCCGTGATGTGTCCCAGTTCTTCCGTGTGGCACAGAAAATCGTGAGTGAAAGGAGCAATATGTATAGGCTTGAGAACAGAACGAGCATACGATCGCCTTGGTTGCATTAAGCTGGCTTCACGCCTAGGCGTATCGAATATGCGTGTTTGTTGCGCGTTCCGTGACGCGCGTTTTTACCGACAAACGCGCATTTCCGAGGGCTACTTGGCTGTATCCCAATGGAAACGCGCAACAAAAACGCCCCAAAGGAGCTCCTGTACTTCTTTGGGCTTAGGACGTTTTGTAGCGCCTTCATACGGCCTGTAATACGCCCAGGTGTGAACCATACCCATAGGAAATAATGAGATTTCGGTGTTTGAGCGTTTTTTCAGAGCGTTCAAACGCACTACAAAACGCCCAGGTGTGAACCGGGCCTTAGTTTGCATTTATCATGGTTTTAAAAAGAGAAATTAAATGAAGCCACTTGTGCAAAGTTCCTCCTGAAGGGACAACTCACTTTTGTGTCTCCTGTGCAGATGCCGCCTCCTGCACTCCATAAAGTTAAGAAAGATGGAGGTCCTGCTGTGTGTTCCCTGGACTCCTCTTCCCCCTCTCAATCCTCTCGTGCATCATCCAGCCTCCGCGATGCCTTTAAAAAAGCAAAGATGCTGGACTCGCATGTGCCAAGCTTAAAGCGGAAGAGAGATTGCGGTAAGGGTCAAGTGATCTATTGGAACTCTGAAAGTTGTGTACAAAGAGGACAAAGGTAATATTACCTGTGGGCTCCCTACAGCTATTCCGTTCCCTGTTATTGACTTACCATGCCTCAATTCTCCTCCCTGTGGAGGCAGACATCTTGGTAGAGGTAGAGGTTTGCATCCTCACGTTAGCGTTTCCCCCTAATGATTGGTGATCTGATGACTGGGGTAAAATCAAGAGAGGTGGACGAAGCACAGATCCATAGAATGAATAAAGCAAAAGCAGGGAGATCCTTACACTGCAGTCACAGGTAGTAGTAGTTTAGATCAGTGGTTTCCAACCTGTGTAACCTCAGGACCCACGTTTGTCCTTGGTCATTAAGTCACGACCCATGTCGCACTGCAATGGAACGCACGGCATTAGGGTACCGCACATACCAGTGCAGGTGTACGAACTGTGGGCGGGAGGTGCGTTTGAGGAGCCATTTAAATGAATGGCAATGCAACACACCTCCCACACCAGAATGCACGGTAGGTGTAATTAAGTGGTACAGTGCAGTAATCATATGGTACTATGTGATTAAAGCACTGTACTAGTGTGAATGGGCCCCCAAAAACACTGACATACATACACAACCACAGACACATTCTCCCACACACTCCAAAACATTTTTGTAATTTTTCTTTAAGGTCCACCCAGTCAGAGAGAACTGAAGTGGATGCTCAGCCTGGAGTCCAGTGTGCGATGCTGTGCTATGATGGAGCTACATCCATATGTGCATTGCTTGTACATCTCCCATGCGCGCCCTGTAGAGGTGCAGGGAGCCAGAATGTGATGTCACTCTGGTCCAGGCACCTCTATAGGACACGTGAAGGAGCTGTAAGCAATACACGTGTGGATGGAGCTCCCTTGCGGCCACAGCCCCATCCCATCTCAAGCTGACACTCTGCAACATGCAGCATATTTTTAAAGGCTGCTTGGCGTGAAAACAGACTGTGCTGCGCTAGGGGGAGGCAGAGGAGCCTCTCCTCTAGAAAAGTGGAAGGCATGCAGTGACGCACTGAACACGGGGTCACGACCCACTTTTGGGTCACGACCCACCAGTTGACAACCAAGGGTTTAGATAGTCTCACACTGCAAATGAGAGGCTCATGGCACAGGAATACCTAGACGCAGCAAGTACACTTCTGTTTCTCATGAAGATTTCCAGACACAGGGTACATTTTTCATGGTAACACTGCCCCGTTAACATTCTAGATGTTCCTTATAATATAGGAAATCTTCAGCTGTTCAGATCCACATGAATAGTTTTGCCTCATGTATACATTGTTTATGGTTTGTATTTTTATGTCTTAGGGGGCAGCCAAGAGTCTGACTTTTGTGATGAATACGAACAGAGTTTAGGGGTCACCACCCACCGCCCGGCTAGCCTCCTGGACGCTCTGGATCACAGTGAAAAGAGGAATCAGGAGGACCTGAGCTCGGATGAGAAGGTGACAATGATGAGTTTGATTCATTTTAGACTCAATTTTGAATCCCTTTATAGGAGGCATTAGTAATCCTTTTTTTTTTCTTCTCTCTCTTACAGACTACACGTCTTTCCACATTGTCTCTTCAGCACGATAAGAGGCTGGATGATGAAAGAAGGGGAGGAAAGAAAAAGATTAAGATCGTTAACAACAAAGTATGTCAGAATTTTTTTAAAGTTGTGTAGCAACCTTCTCAATAGAACATTTTGTTTCTTGTTGAAATTAAATTTTTTAGAAATGGTTCACTTTAGGTTATGCTTAACGTGTACATGTGACCTCATTAAACCTTAAACTGGCTTTTGGAGTGTTCATCAGGAGCAAGAGTCGCCTAAGACTCCTCCGTGTATTTCTAGGAACCTCCAAAACCAGAATCTTCTGTCATTCAAATTGTAGACACATCTTTCATAGGTTGCGGTCTAATCTTCTTCTCTGTTCCTCCCAATTTCTCATGAAATGTTCTGTGTGTTCTCACCGGCCAAAAGGAAGGCACCGGAGGGAGGCTCTTGTCACACGTCTTCTCTTTTCCTTCTAATTTCTCATGAAACGTGCTGTGTGTTCTCACCGGCCAAAAGGAAGGCACCGGAGGGAGGCTCTTGTCACACCTCTTCTCTTTTCCTTCTAATTTCTCATGAAACGTGCTGGGTGTTCTCACAGGCCAAAAGGACGGCACCGGAGGGAGGCTCTTGTCACACCTCTTCTCTGTTCCTTCTAATTTCTCATGAAATGTGCTCGGTGTTCTCACTGGCCAAACGGAAGGCACCGGAGGGAGGCTCTTGTCACACCTCTTCTCTGTTCCTTCTAATTTCTCATGAAACGTGCTGTGTGTTCTCACCGGCCAAAAGGAAGGCACCGGAGGGAGGCTCTTGTCACCCCTCTTCTCTTTTCCTTCTAATTTCTCATGAAACGTGCTGGGTGTTCTCACAGGCCAAAAGGAAGGCACCGGAGGGAGGCTCTTGTCACACCTCTTCTCTTTTCCTTCTAATTTCTCATGAAACGTGCTGGGTGTTCTCACAGGCCAAAAGGACGGCACCGGAGGGAGGCTCTTGTCACACCTCTTCTCTGTTCCTTCTAATTTCTCATGAAATGTGCTCGGTGTTCTCACTGGCCAAACGGAAGGCACCGGAGGGAGGCTCTTGTCACACCTCTTCTCTGTTCCTTCTAATTTCTCATGAAACGTGCTGGGTGTTCTCACAGGCCAAAAGGACGGCACCGGAGGGAGGCTCTTGTCACACCTCTTCTCTGTTCCTTCTAATTTCTCATGAAAGGTGCTGGGTGTTGTCACCGGCCAAAAGGAAGGCACCGGAAGGAGGCCTGATGAGACTGTGCAAGCGCTTGTCACACTTTTCAATGTATCCAAAGTGTGTTGGGTTCAGGGGCTCTTCAGTTATGCAAACTTGCTTATTAAAGATCTGTAGTTGCTTCCTTGTTTAGCTTCACTTACTTGAGAGTCCAAGGTTAGGAGTCACATGAAATCGGAGAGTGGCTGCCCTGTCAACTGTTTGATCTCAAACATTGTCTCCCAGCATCTGAGAGTACATAACAGTATCAAATGTCAGAGACCTGTATTTGTTCACATTTTTCATGGCCGTGTGTCTCTGTGTGACACTGCTGTACACTTTAAGCACTCTGTATACAGCGGTGTGACCACAAAAAAACAAATCGTTTGCTGTTTGGGGATCCTGGGTCTTATTGTTTATAGGCAGCTTGATTGGCATAGCTTTCCTATTTCCTTTCTCCTATATTATGCTTCTTTCACAGACTGCAGATGACAATTCTCCTTCCAGCAAGAAGAAGGGCGCCGCAGATATGTTTTTGTTTTCCGTCAAGCAGTGTCTTAGTGAGGAGAGCTACGCCATTTTTACAGCAGCCCTTAAAGACTATAAGGCGACCGATGATCTGCAGGCGCTCATTCCAAAGCTTTGTGCTCTCTTTTGTCAGGACCCAGGAAAGAATGTTCTGATGAGAGGCAAGTAGCCGTCATGGTTGTTCTGTGCCGATCATCACAGCGTGAGCCAAGCCTAATTATTATTTTTCTAGTTACAAAACTGCGTGAGGGGAATTTATCAAAACTGGAGCAGACAAAATCTGGAGCAGCCATGCACGGCAACCAATCAGCTTCTCTCTTCAGTTTGTTCAGTTAAGATTTGAAAATGAAAGCGAGAAGCTGATTGGCTGCCATGCACAGCTGCTCCAGATTTTGTCTGCTCCAGTTTTGATGAATTCCCATTTGTGTTTTTTCACCCATAACCTGGGCTGGAAGAATCCCAGGAGCCAGTTTTGCCTACTTTTTCTGATGCTTTTTTGTTTTAAAAAAAAAAAGATAGGTGAACTAGCCCTTTAATTGTGGCTAAATGCATGTGGAGTTGCATACAAAAGGGCATCCAGATTGTGTATTACTAGGGCCAGGTTTTAACCAAGCTGCAAGCACACACAGGAAGGGTGGTTAGGGGGGGTTTCTCTTCATTTTAATAAAAAAGTATTAAGCAGGTAGAAAAATTAAACATCGCAGTCTGATAGTCTTCATAGCATGGCCTAAAAGAAAGAAATCTCTGACAGATTTAATATATGAATCGTAATGTTGTGAGAAGTTATCTTGTCTATATGCAAAAGCTCAGCGATATGAGGATGCAAAATTTACTTTTATCCACATTTACCATACAAAGGACAAAGTACACTGTATTGCTAGAAGTTTGTGCACACCTGACCGTTACACCTACAGGTGAAACTCAAATAATTAGAATATCGTACAAAGTTCATTTATTTTACTAATGCAACTTAAAAGGTGAAACTAATATATGAGAGAGACTCATTACATGCAAAGCAAGATAGTTCAAGCCGTGATTTGTCATCATTGTGATGATTATGGCTTACAGCTCATGAAAACCCCAAGAACCCCAAATCCACAACCTCAAAAAAGTAGATTATTACATGCAATCAATAAAACAAAGATTGTACATAGAACAATATCGGACCTCTGAAAAGTACAAGCATGCATATGTACTCAGTACTTGGTTTGGGCCCCTTTTGCAGCACTTACTGCAATTACTTTTGCACCATATTCTAATTATTCGAGTTTCACCTGTATATGAGCTTGTCTTGTTGGGCATCTTATTTAAAGCTATGGGCATTATTGTGGAGCTGCATCCCCCCCCCCACCCCCTCTTCCTCCATGAGCTATAACAGACTCCACTATTTTGGGATGCCTTTTTACAAGATTTTGGAGTGTGCCTATGGGAATGTGTGCCCATTTAGCCAAAAAAGCATTTATCAGTTACTGATTTTGGATGAGAAAACCAAGCTCACAATCTGCATTTCAGTTCATGCCAAAGGTGTTCAGTTGAGTTGAATTCAGGGTTCTGTGTAGGCTACTCTAGTTTCTCCACACCAAACTAATCAAGCCACGTCTTAACGAAGCTGGCTTTGTGCAGACGGGCTTGTCTTAATTAAGGATGGGCTCGGGCGTGTTTAGGAAAAGTCGATCGCATACGATTATCGTACGATAATCGTAAGGTGTATGGGCACCTTTAGTCTTAATGAAGCTGGCTTTGTGCACAGGTGCTCATCTTAATGAAGCTGGCTTTGTGCACAGGGGCACTGTCAAGCTGGAACCGAAAAGGGCCTTCACCAAACAGTTGACACAAGGTTGGAAGCTCACAATTCTCTAATATGTCTTTCTATGCTGTAGCATGAACTGTACCCTTCACTGGAAACACCAGAACTTAATCAATGGAAGGTGTGACCACATGCTGGCTATATAGTGGTTGTGATGGTCAGGTGCACACCAAACTTTTGCCTTCTAGTATATGTTCTAAAACGATAAGCCTCTGTTTTTCGTTTACAGGATTTTACCATTTTATCCGACCTCATCACAAGAAAGAATTTCATTTGGCTTGTGAAAAATTTACCGGAAAAGGGTGCGGATACAAACCGGAGCACAATATACCACGGCAAGAGAGAGAGAAGGGTGAGCAATTCAACGTCAGGACATTCCTTATTAGCTAGCGAAACCTCAATCAAGTCTTATTTGTTTACACCTCTCTTGTGTCTGGGTTCGATTTCAGCACAAGTTTCCGCAGAGAGCAGCCTGGCAGCTTCCAAGCTAACTTTCTCAGAGGGTTCAGAGCAACACCTGAATCATGGTGGAGGCCACATGAGCTCAGTGTCCTTGAAAGGTAAGAATTCCAGTGGAAAAAATGGTCCATTATAGTTTATATCTGGTTTTCTTATAGCGTTACACACGTCCAACACGTTTTAACTGACCATGTTAGACATTTTATGCAATTCTGAGGGCTGTTGGGACCAGAAAGCCCACCTCTGAATTCAGCTCTAAAGACAATCTATATTTAAATCAAAATTTTCTGCTATAATTTATTGTCTAAAAGCCATTTACAGACACCTAATGCTTAGACTCATCTTTTAAAATATTGATCTGATGGCTTGAAAAGGGACAGGTTTCCCCCTTATAGATTGGCAGAGTTAAAGAGCACCTTTTATTTGGTCTCATAAACATTGGCTGTCACCAGATGGGACCATTTCAGCTCTGGTTTGAAAAGATTCCTTCTGTGGCCAATCTAATTGGACCGTATCTAAACACAAAAACAATGTTGGAGCTTACCAGTCCTTCCATGTGGTGGCTGCTGCAATGTTCTTCTTTTAGGCTCTTTTTCCTTTATGATCCTGCCAGTAACACACTTCCTGTTCTAGAGAGACCACTATGGAGGAACCCATGGTTGTCACCTTAGGCTGCTTTTCTAGTTTGGACAACAAACACGTCTTTCTCGCTTCATCTGCATTACATGGCGGAGGGATTTGTAGTTTACACAAGAGGAAGATAAAGTTGTTTGTGATTTCAGTTCCATTCACAGGAAGTGACAAGGACACTGCATTTCTAGCACGATTAATAGGTATTTTTCCATACTTGCTGAAAAGGTTGTTATCCTGAAATAATGAAAACTAATGCAGCCACCACATCAAATGTAAGCTGCAATATATTACATTTTTGCCCTTTGGGTTTTCACATCCTTTTATTGCTGAAGGGACCAGCAAAGAAATAAGTAATTCAACAAGACAGATGTTGACGTGAGTCAACGGTTGTAACAATCTTCATACTATTCTGGGAGATGTGTCATTTTATGGTTTATTTATACAATTCTAAAATGAACATTTGTTTTCCGTTGATGTGATCTCGCTAATGCACAAAGTTCTTTATTAAAATGGTATATAAAAGCACTGCTTGCACAGCCAACAAATCCATCATATATTGCACATAAAACTTGCTCCAAATTAGAGACTACCATTGCTCATCTCCTCACAAACTTCACACACACAGAATATAAATCCAACTGGCTTTCAATGCGTTTCAGCAACACTCAAAGTCGCATTTCGGGCTAATTTTTTTGCCCCACGGGGAAAGCAGGTCGGGCTGCAATGTTCACCTTAATTTTGAAACAGTTTCCTGCAGGATTTCTTTTTTTTTTTTTTTAAATGTCTTTAAAAATGATTGCAGTATTTCTGCCGCCCCCTTTCCAGCCAGAGTGTCCCAGGTTGCTAAGAGCCAGGTGGGGAGATGTGTAAGGGCCATGCACATCTACCCACCCAGCTCTTAGCAACTTGGGACACTATGGGCGGTGTCCTGCCTAGCTTTTGGCAACCAGTGACGTCACTGGTTTCAAGGAGCTGAGCAGGACATGATGGTGAGATCCCCCCCCCCTTCCTTAGCGTGCACCCCTGCACACACATGCACTACCCCCCGGAATATGTACCAACAGCAACCCCCCTTCCCTCAGGCAGCAAATAGGCTAGGGACAACGAGGCACATGGCATCCCTAAAAATAATTTTTAAAATGTTTCTTTTTAAATGTATCCTTGGAGCAGGCCTTTGGGTAGACTGCAAGCTATTGTTAATAATCTCAAAGTGAGTCTGTCCCCAGATAAAGAATGGGGGACACACTGAGTTTCCCCTTCATGTGCATTTAATGCAGAAACCAGGTTCCTAGGTCTTTAACCCTTTGTTTGGACAAACCGTGTTCACAAATAGCTTATAACTTGATCACAAGATCTGCCAGCACAGTACAGACAGGGTTAATTATGGTAAACATGAACTTCTCAACCCCCTCATAAAAATCACTCGCCTCATAGTTCTCCTTTAAGGCCCCAAAATCAGTGCATCATTATACTAAAATAACAGTCAACCTTGTTCTTGGGTGATACTAAAATATTCGTTACATCCCTCAAGAAAGGGTACAACAATAGTTCAACATATCAACGCACGTCAATTCTGTTTGGCTAACGAGGTCACACATGACATTGTAAAGAGAGAAAAAAATTAAAAAGCACTTGGATAGAAAAAGGAAAGAAGAAGAGAAAAGTAGAAAGAAAAAAGTGTAGGCTCCAGATCCCCAAATGCCAGAATCATAAAATAACCTGAGCGGGGCCGGTGGTGTTCAAGGAGGACTCGAGATGCCTGAATAACTTCAAAATGAACGTGTCTGTCCTGCTGGATACTGTGCAGCTTCTCATGGGTCATAATCCAATTGAGCTTAGACAATTTCCAGGCCCGGCATTTATTTTATTTTTTTATATATAAAAGTTGGAATATAAAATTTCCCGTTTTAAAGGAGAACTATGGGGTCAGGGCTTTTCCCCATAGTTCTCCTTAGGGTAACCGGAGGACATAAACTAGCGTCCTCCCGTCACCCTAGGCTCAGTATACAGCGAGCTACAGCTCGCGGTATACTGAGACGCCGCAGCCGGAGCGGATTCCGACATCGATGTCAAGATCCGCCCAGCTGCGTGAGTGACTACCCTCCCCCTCCGTTCCGTAATATAACATGGGTGCAAAAATGGAAAAAAGGGCCTCAGTCATGAAGGGGTTAAGTAAGAGTAAACTAAAAAAATCCCACATATTCGCTCCGGCCGGTGACCTCAAAGACATTAGTAACTCAAGAATCAGCGTAACCAGACGAGAAACAATTTAAGAAGGTCAGGGATGACATTTCTTGAGGCTTTATTCATTCACGGGAAATGCAATTTACTAATCCGTTCGGTAAGAGTGGAATTTCTGGCTCAGACAATTACGTCACATTTTTCAGGTTAAATAATTATGAAGCTTGGTTGATTCCGAGTGAGTCAAGGGCAGGCCGCAATGGCGTTTAGACTACAGGGACCCACAAAGGGAGGTTTTGTTGTTTTTTTTTTGAAAGATTTCCAGGTATAGCAAAATATCCTGTTTTCCTGGAATGTATTCTCGCATGGCCAGAGCCTTCCTTTGATGTGGCACACTCAGCTGCGTTCTCGTTTGCAGTTTCTGTTTTATTATTTGATGGGTCTTTGTGGGGCGGGGGGGGAGGTTGCATGAAGAATGAGTGGACCTTAGTACCGTTTTCCTAACGTCTGTGTCTTTTCTCAGAATTGGTCTCCTCTATTCACTTTGTAATCGCTTAAACATTTTCAGTTTCCATTCGCTGCCTAGGCTGCTTTGTGACATGTGAGACATTTGTTTTACTTGCTTAGGGAATGCGATGGAGTGGTTTTAGATTTCCAAAATGATTTCATCCACGTGTGCTAATGTTTAAAGCAACTTCTGTGTATGGTTTCAAATGATTTGTGTACTGTACATGGTGAAAAAACATGAAGATACCTTGCTGCATTCCTTACCGGGAAGCCCCAAATCGGATGAGGGGGTGCTCGCAGTGACTGCGAATGGCACCGCCAAATAGTGCAAAATGAATGGATGACACCAGCACACCTATAGTATTGCAGTCCAAAGTGTTCGTTTATTGGAACGTCATGCCACCAGAACTGTTCTGGTGACATGACGTTCCAATAAACGAACACTTTGGACTGCAATACTATAGGTGTGCGGGTGACATCCGTTCATTTTGCTGCACACGGTGAAAGACTCATTTATTCATTACGTTTGCTGGTTTGTTTAATAACCATGCCGTTCCCGTGTCCCCTTTCTTGATAGTTGGTAATATCGGAGACACATTGAGGGAATTTATGAAAACTGGAGCAGCTGTGCATGGCAGCCAATCAGCTTCTCTCTTTCATTTTCAAATCGTAACTGAACAAACTGAAGAGAGAAGCTGATTGGTTGCAATGCACATCTGTTCCAGTTTTTGTCTGCTCCAGTTTTGATAAATCCCCCCCATCGAGTTTTCACTCTAGTGCTGGCCAATGTACATGTGGCAATGTAATAAACTTTCAAATACACTTTTTGTTGATAAAAGTGGAAGCGCGGCAAGGGATACAGGCATCAGATGCTTTCGAAAGTGTGAAATGCTGAAGAGTCTCATTGAGGCTGCAGCACTTGAATGGAGACGCAGACCGCCGGCGAGGTGAGTGTACTACCTCTTTAATGGCAGGTAACCACTGCTTTTGTTTGTGAACTGATACAGTCACTTAACAAAAACAAAGCCAAACCTTTTTTTCGGTCACAGTACATTTACTAATGTACACTGGTGACCTAAAGTCAGAGTATAGCTGGCTTATGTCTGCCATCAGCTGACAACGCAGAGCCATGCCGCAGGATAGAGTATTGTCAGAATCCACCTGGCTTACCTAACTGACAGCTGGCTCTGCCTCTCTGCGTGCAGCAAGGAGCCAGAGCAAGTCATGCATGCCACTTCCCCAGTCTGTAGTTCCAGTAAGTGCTGGGGGGGAAATCCCTGTGGGGTGGTGACTGACAGTCACTTCTCTCCATTGGGAAAATGGAGACAGAGCTGACTGATCAGCAGTTACATGATTTAAAACCGTGAATATTCGCGCTTGTGGATATCTCTCCCTCTTAACCCAATAGGCGACAGCTGCAGTGAAAAACCCAAACAGAACTAAGATCTTCGGTCAAAACATCTACAAACGCGCGGTGCACTTTTCGTTTGTAGCAGTTACATGATTGCTCAGCTCTCGGTGTTGGATCTGCTGTGTGACAGCTGCAGTGTCACACGCCAGCTCTAAACAGTGGGGAGGGTTTCTTTACCCGTCCACTCAGTTCTCCTTCAAGCAAAGGAACTGCTTAAAGTAAACCTGAGATCACATACAGTATATTTGTAACGATAAGTCAATGCATGCTGAGTAATAAATCAGTTATTTCCAGGTATCTATTGCCTCCCCCTGATAATACCTCCATCTGCTTTCTTGTCAAGAAGGATGGAGCCATCTTTGTTCAGGCATCGTCCAGGGTCCCAATCTACTTCCTGGCTCAGAGATGACACAATCATGTAAATTCTGGTGTCCGTACAGTTCTTGTCTGTGTGCACGTATGTGACAAACAGATCAGCCCCCGCTTCAGGCAGTCACCTTGCTACAAAGCTCTAATGGACAGTCTGAGTGATCACTGGGGTGGAGGAAACTAGGGTAATGCTTCACCTTGCCGGCAGGATGGCATGGTCTTATCTGAGGCAAAGTCACTGATTGGAGCTCGAGAATAACTTTTCAATGATAGAAGGTGGAGCTGTTCTAAAAAACAAAACCTGCTGCTGCATATTGTGACATGAGTAGTTTATTCATGCAGACTTCTAAGGGAAAAGAGGAAGTAATGAGGTGACCGTCACTTTGCTTTGCCTGATGAAGGGTCTGCATGTGGTTCTAAAACATTGAGATTTTTGTGACCGCATTTTTATCTAAACGTCAATAAAGGAGGGATCGATAAAGTGGCCCTTGGTGTGCTGGTGACCTAATTCCTTCCTCTGTGTGTGTGCGCGCGCGGCGCCATCCGCTGGCCATTTCAGCACCTGCTGAAGTTGCATGCAGTGATATGTCGGTCCGGAATGCGACGGGACATCTTCAATGTTCTAAAGGGAAAAAAAAGCCTTTTATATATGTTTCTTATCGGCGCCCTATGTATTAAAAAGCCACTCCATCTCCAATCCCTATGCGTTGCAAGTGTGTGACCATCAGATGAATTAACTACGTGCTCCTCCGACCAGCTTGTACGTCCCGTAGTGAGGACGCAGTATGGAGGTGGGATAAACCAGAGTGACCAAAGGGGGAGCAAGTATTTTACACACCCAGAAGTGAAGAATACTTGCAGCGGCTAGGGAAGCGACGATGCTACGGCTGTGGTGACTGGGTCACTTTAAAATGCTTGCCCTCTAAGCTAAGGTGATGTGTCACTATTCTAGCATATACAGTCTCTTTCCAGGAAGGAGATTGTTAACATATAAATATTATTTTTTAGCCACCGGTTTACATTTTATTCTCATATTGCATACACTATGTATACCACAACCCATTAAAGATGTCAAAATATCAAAATCATCTGGTCATGATTTTCCTTTGTGCATCGTGGATGACGAGAAACACTATCAGCGCGTGCAAACATCCCTTAAGGTAAAAGCACATCTAAATTCCGATGTGGGCTGCAGTAGAACCGCAATTGACAATATTTACATACGGCTTTGTAAAGATCTGGGAGATTTAGAAGAATCCACCAGTGTCTTGAGGGCAATACTTCTGTCTTTTTCAAACTAGGAAAGAAAACATCACGTTAACATGCACGTTGTCGGGCAAAGCAAAAACCTACCCCGAGGCTGAAGCATGATGGCCGTAAACACTGCTTGGAATTTTTAAATATTTCTTTTTTTTTTACTTCCACTAAGATACTCACAGGGACTTTCTTCAAAGGGAATTGTGGAGTGTGTGTTTTTATGTATATCTTTGTTTATGTTCAGAGTTAAAAATAACTTTAAAAAACATCAAAGTCATATAGAAATAAAATACAGTATATTACATTTTCATTATTATTATACAGGATTTATATAGCACCAACAGTTTGCGCAGCGTTTTACAATATAGGGAAGACAGTTTGGTGACAAGACAAGATGGTTAGGAGGTTCCTGCCCATGAGAGCTTATAGGTTCAACCAGCAGCTAGAGATCTCTAAACACTGGCTTTCTGGACGTTGGTTCGTGGCCCATGCCCAGGAGCTTTCTGTCTCAATATTTGTATTGAAAGTTTTATAGTGAACATACATAGTAAAAGGAATGGTTTACAATGCTTCATTACAGTAAGTGAATGTAACAACAAAGAGGTCACTTGCAAGTGACTATATTTTAAATAATTAAGCAGTTTTAGGTTAGGGAGGTTTCACAGTCATAATCGTGCTTTATGATTACAGCGGGTGTGACAGGTGTGTACTAAGGCTAGACTGCCCTCCCCACCAGTTAAACTTGGGAAACATCAGTAACCAACGGTGGGGGAAGGTCCCCAAAGAACATATAACATGAGAAGAGGGAGTAGAAATGTCCTAAGGGTGATAGTAATGACAGGTGTACCTACATCACTCGGTCCATAGTTTGCTAACACCGACCATCTCCGTGAGTAATGGAATCTGCACATTCCCATCCCATGGCCCACATCCGTCTGCTTTTCCTTCCAGCATCAGATGCCTCGATAACTCATGGGGTCCATGTCAGGGTGACGAGATGAGAGCCATGGTTCCCAAACACTTAGAAATTTAGAATGTTTATCCTCCAGAATGCTAGATAGTCGTTCGTTAAGCATGATATTGTCTAATCTGTTGGCAAATACCCTGTATGGTAGTTGTTGCTTCTTCCAGTTGCCTGCCAGCAAGACAAGTGGAAGAGGGCATATTGAAAGTCTATCGGTATATACGTACCAAAGAGAGTACCCATTAGTTTGAATATCCTAACCCAGAATCTAGTGGCAAATGGAGATCTCCACCAAATATGTTGCATATCCCCCGTTTCCCGACATTCCAGAAAACAAGTACTCGAGGATGTGGGGAACAAGCGCGCCACTCTGGCTGGTACTAAATACCACCTCATCACTACCTTATAGGCCACCTCTGCATTTGTAACATTGATGGAGCACCCAGGAGCTTTCATTCATGTCAGGTCAGCTGCACCCCGTCAATGACAGGGCCCCGTCAATGACCATGAAAGCTTATAGGTTCAACCAGCAGCTAGAGATCTCTAGACACTGGCTTTCTGGACGTTGGTTCGTGGCCTATGCCCAGGAGCTTTCATTCATGTCAGGTCGGCTGCGCCCGTCACTGAGCTATGAGTGATCTCAGAAGCGTCTCCAACTGATGTCAAATGCGGCGGAAGCACCATAGAGCAAGCTGCATAGCTCCATTGGTGCCCTAAACTCAGGCATCTACTGATATGTTTTGAAGTAGACATGACTAGCAGGAAAGATCAGACTGCTGATTGACTCAAAGGGAATTGCCTCCTCTTAAAACTGAGACAGGACCAGGTGGTTTAGTTAGTTGTATCTGGCTGACCACAAACAAGCACGGGAGGCTTTGCTGGCACACTGGCTTGCACGGCATGTTAGGGCGCCACCCTGAATAAAGGGAAAAACTAAAGTCCTTAGGTGAATGCGTCTTAATTATTAATATACAGGATTTATAAAGCGCCAACAATTTGTGCAGCGTTTACAATATAAAGGAAGACAGTACAGTTCCAATACAATTCAAGACAAGAGGGTTAGGAGGGCCCTGCCCGTGAGAGCTTACAATCTAGTAGGGAGAGGAAAGTGATACAAAAGGTGGTAGCTGTGTGGTGATGAGTTGTTTAAGAAAGTTCAGTTGTTAGGTATAGATGTGATAGGCTTCAATAAAGAAGTTAGCTTTTTAAAGAATAGATGTTTATTTAGTTATGCCAAAGAGGACAACAGAATGGAGATTATGAAAACTCTAATAAAAAGTACATAGAGATACAACAATAAGACACATCTGAACCTTTGCAGTGCCCAGAAAGGGGCCAAGACCATGTCCCCCAAGCACCCTCGTATAACTCAATGACACCGGTACGAGAGGTTCCACGAAGCCTCATGGCATACCAACAGGACATGGCTAGAAACCTACCTCTAGTGATTAAAAGCTCATGACTTTTCTAAGAGTCTTCAAGGTCCCAAATCTGCACCGTCCAGGGAGCTGCCAATGAGAGAGAAATGGACAACAGAACAAACAAGAAAGATAGAAAAGGGAAGGATAGGTAGCAAAGGATCTGGCCATGAGTGTCAGGGAGCCAGCAGTCAAAATCACACTACTAGGGTACCGGATATTCATCACATAGGTAAGTCTGAAGCAGAGGCGAGCCTGATACATCTATCCAGACTCCCCATAAAATTTAAGTAGGTATTAGACAGTTGGCCATAAAAGTTGAGTATGTATGAGTCCCTTGGCCATAAAAGTTGAGTACGTATGAGACAGTTGGCCATAAAAGTTGAGTATGTATGAGTCCCTTGGCCATGAAAGTTGAGTACGTATTGACGTATTATTTGAGTAGGTATGAGACAGCTGAGCAGACATTTCCTCCATATACATGATATTGGTAACTTCAGAGAACCAATCCCTAACTGAAGGCACTTGAGGGGGTCTTCCAAAGCCGGGGTATAAGGGCACGACATGCAGATAAAAGGAATCTAAGCAAATATAATTTAGCTACCGGAAGAGATGAGTTTTCAGGGATCACCTAAAGGCAGACAGAGTAGGAGGTTGCTGGACAGATTGGGGTAGGGAGTTCCAAAGGATGGGATGGGAATGGGCAAGTATATGCAGAACATTATTGTAAACTTACCTGCTAGTTTGACCTCCTCCATTAATTACAGGTCCCCCTCCCCTGTTGTCTTTGATTTCTTCTTCTACTGGCCTGTGCCTTGTTTCTTCCGCAGCTGATGATGGAGCTTGAACGCAGGCATGTTGCAATTGCACCATCCCAGCATCCGCATCCTTTCTCGACATCTGTAAGAAAGTGTAACACCTTAGCTGTGTGTTAACACATGCCCATTATGTTGATGGAAGAACTCCAGGATTTTTAAAGTGAACCTTGCAGTGGGGCTACCAAAGCCCCCCCCCCCCATCCCCCCACCTTCTAGACAAGGCACTCTGTCTAGAGGGTGAAATACTCTCCCGATCTTCAGTCCTACTGGGCTGCTAGACTGGTGGCCCCAGCCTCTTCTCAGTCTAAGGATCCATGACATCATCATGTCTAATCCGAGGATCAGTAGAGTATCTCTTCTTCATTTTCGCCCCTAAACCAAAATAAGCACTTAACTACCAAGCAACTAGGTTTGTGTGCGGCAAGGCATTGGAAGTCTATTGGAATGCCTTAAAAAAAAAAATGGACCCTTGCAGTGGGGTACCAAATCTCCCCGGACTGCAAGGGTCCATTTTTTTTTTAAGGCATTCCAATAGACTTCCAATGCGCCGCCGCACACAAACCGCAATGCATGGTAGTGCATATTGGGGTGCCGTTCAAAATAAATGGCATCACAACGCATTAGCATGTGAATGGTGTAGTGTGAGCGCAAAGGTATTCAGCCGCACTAAGGGGGCTGAGAGCGCGCACTGCGCACGCATGGGAAAAATAAAATTGCTAGGGCAATGGACAATGTAGAAACATTTACAGCTGAACTGAAGGTGAAACAAATCGCCAGCAGACGATGAACAACGATGACATACAAATCAATCTGAACGACAGTTTTATAAATGTTTTAAAAAGAAACTTAAAAATAAAAAGGGACCAAAAATCATTAGCGCTTCCTTTAGACAGGAGATGGCAGAGCGAGTCACAATGTTTATGCTCCGCTTTAGTGTTATTGACATCCTCGCCTCTGTTTTAGGAAAGAGGAAGCTGCCAAAGTAAATGTTTTCCAAACGTTTGCCGTCCAGCAAAAAAACTTGGCTGTGCCCTTTGATATGTCACAGAGCACAATGCGGAAATGCACGTGTGGGGAAACCTCCGTCGTTAGATCACTGATCATGCCTTCCGTCCTCACATGTCTTCGTGTGATAACGGGTGCCGATGACGGGAGAGTTATGATCCCGTCACCGTGAATAGGCATTTTCAACTTTCACTATATGGATTAACCATTTCATCCCTGGCGCTCTTACCCCAGGGGTTAGCAAAGTGGCCCTCCAGCTGTTGTGGCACTACAAATCCCATGAGGCATTGCAAGACTCTCACAGCCACTGACAGGGCTCCCAGAGACAGATGCATGGTAGGATTTGTAGTTTCAATACAGCTGGAGGGCCGGAGTTTGCCCACCCCGTCCTACCCTTTCCACGAGCCGAGCTGCTGTCGGGTTTTAGCATTTGTTACGGTGATGGAAACTGAAGGGCCCTGTTTTATCACCGCGGGTCCGTTTCGTGGGCCAGTCATAAAAACACAGTGATTGGTGGAGAGGCTGGTCACATGATCAGCTCTTCTCCAAAACCTGCGGAGCACATTTGTAATGTGCTGTCATTTTTTTTTTTACATTTTATAAACATCCACATTTGAATAAAAATATAAATTTTTTCTTTTTTTCTTTTCATGCCTATGGTTACAGCTGCTTAATAAACGTCCATCCTTTTTTTTTTTTTTAGTCTGACCACTTGCTCATCACAGCGATCACAGGGGACCACCCTGATTCCTTCTCTGCCATAAAAAGACAGCTTGGTCACAAGACTCATTTGAACACCCGCAGTGAAAAAAGAAAAGGCTTCTTGGCTATGAGTGGGATTTATGGGACCCTTATGTGTTGTAGAGATGATGCACTGCTTGGGCCACCTTCCTGCCCACATGCAGGAAGATTTAAGTCATAGAAGGGATGTCAGCGGCAGGGACAGTATTACATTGTATATTGCAGAAATTGAGTGTGATGGCTACTAAAGCTAGGCATAAGGAGACCTCTATGAAGAAGGATGGATACACAGAAACCTAGTTATTTTATTGACTCGGGAAGGGGCCAACTTCAGCCATTATACTTTACGTATTGTGAGTAGAATAGGGAGGGTTGCACCCATTATCAAGTTTAACCCCTTAGTGACCGGTGACGTACATAGTACATCACTGGCAGCGGGCCCGTTTAAACAGACTCCCGACGGCTTTAGCAGACTCTGTTTACGTTGGTAGGACCGGCGGCTGGCTTTACAATTGAAGCGATTCTGGCGACTCAGCTGTCGCCAGGTCGCTTCTACGGGCCGGTAAAGTGGCCGCTGCCCCTCCTGCAGGTCCAGGACCGGCATCTGAGGTGTCGGCGGGATGCTGGGGAGGAGAGCGGCGAACGTCCGTTCACCGATATCCTCCGCGCTCTATGGGACCGGGAGCGATGCGGATTGCATCACCGGTCCCATAACGGTCATGGCTGGGCTCCTGAAGCCCTGCAATAAGCTATTGAAGTGCTCTTAGCGCTATATAATTCCTGTATAATAATAATAATAATATAACAGAGTGCGATCTGCACTTTAGTAGCTTATTTAAAGTGGAAAGATGACACTGGGGGTCTTTTGGAGCCCCAGTATCACCTTAAAGAGGACCTGTCACCACCAATATGCTGTCACATGGGCGGGCTTGGAAGCCCCCCTATGTGATAGCAATTAAGTTAAACTAAAAAACAAACAGTTTTTAAAAATAATATTAAATGTTAAAAAATTTAAATGAAACAGACATATGGTGCACCTACGTACGAAAACGATGATCGCGCTACACATGTTGAATATCGCCGCACACGCCACAGTGAGAGCAATAATTCTCGGGCCAATATGTATGCGTATCTCTAAGCTGATGACCTGTAGGGGCTTATAAAGCCTCTTTGGACTTTTTGGGGTATTGAACTTTGCCGCCGTTTCACAGACGCACACAATTTTTAAGGGGTTAAAAAGAATACTTTTCCATTGATGCATAGGAGAGAAAAAAACCCCTACAAAGACACATTCCTTTGTAGAACAAGGAAGGGCTCCAACATCTGATAACGTTATTATTTCTGCCTGTGCCTTCCTGTCCCTGTGACGACCTCTCTCCTCATTTCCTATTCTATTTTTACAGGATAATTAAAATCTGATATAAATTTCTTTCATTTTTGGGTTTTTATTGTGGTTTGGGTTCTTGCTGCGGAGGAGATTCACCTTCTCTATTCATCCTGATGACAATGTTTAGCAGGATAGAAGGTGATTTTAATCCAAAATGCCACTAAAATAGGGATGGGGGGGGGGGGGTTTGGTGGAAATCTTCTAATAGGCACACTTGGTCCGCTGACAACTATTTAAATCTGGCCATATTCTTAAAAAGTTTTTTTTCTCGTATAGCCCCCACGTGCCACCCGTACCGGTAGTGCCACCCGCGTTTGGAATGGCCAGCTAAGGTGAGGATTTCTCACCCGTTCCTTTTCCCGTTGACTTGCTTCTTCTATACTGCATTAAAGCAAATAGGCTGGCCATACACTGTTAGGGTTTCGGCCAATTCCTGAAATTCTTGCAATGGGTGTCCCTGCCGCCTCTGTTTCGGCCGAGATTTTTCAGACCGGCTCTTTTAAAGTCAGTTGAAAAATCGACTTTTGTCGAACAGGTGGAGCCCCTAAGCTGGCCATACATGGACCAAAATGATGCAGATTCAGCAGGAAATTCCATCTGTGTAGCCACCACTCTGACGACTAGTCAGCTGCAGTCCCCGTTGATGCATTCTGACAGTGGCGGGCACCGGCTGTCAGAATACAAGAGTCGCAGCTCTTCCATTCACACTGTTTAGCGTGGATGGAGGAATATGTCAATTTTTATTCAACCCGCAGACTGACGGGGGTTACAGTGTTCAGCTTTTATCCATATAGCTGTAAAATTACAGGGAAGGAGCAGCTATATGGGCGCCTACATAATCCCTAGGAATAAGTAAGGGCCCATATAATCCTAGGCTGTAATTGTACAAGGAAGGAGCACCTATATGGGCACCTACAATTACAGCCTAGGATTATACGGGCGCCTACATAATCCTAGGGATTATATAGGTGCTCCTTCCTTGTACAATTACAGCCTAGGATTATACGGGCGCCTACATAATCCTAGGGATTATATAGGTGCTCCTTCCTTGTACAATTACAGCCTAGGATTATACGGGCGCCTACATAATCCTAGGGATTATGTATCGGGAAGGAGCAGCTATATGGATAGAAGCTGAACACTAAAAGCACCCCTATCCATGCTATAGGACACTATAATTGGCACTTTTGCTGGAAACTACATATGCCTCCTGTCCACAGGGTGACAACGCCGCTGTGTGATTTCATTGCGGAACGAACAGGTGTCACCCTATTACAGGAAGTGTAAAATCAATGGATATTACAGGCAGGTAATGAAACCGCATTGAACGGGGACTCGTAAAAAAATACAAAATAGCTTTGTTAAAAGTAGTAACAGATTGCAACGCTTTGTCTTTTTTTTTGCCCAGAGATTCACTTTAATATTGCACAATGGGCGCCTTTTGATTCACATGTATGACAAATTCTAATTGTATTTCAATGTGACAATAAATGGACAACCTTCCCTCCATTTGTCACTCCTATGTAGACATTTCTCGCTGAGGCGTACAGAAATTTGAAAAGGGCTTCGAGCAAAGTTTGCTGATCATACACAGCTATCTTCTCTGATCCTCTGGGCGTCCCCTTTTTTCTTTTGCTGGTTGCCTGAAACTGCTGCGGGTATGGAAAACTCCTATGTATCTTCGCTGCGGTGAATGGCGGTGTTTTACTTACGTGCCCCATGCTGGTTTCAGGTCCACGAGATATTGACTATTTTTTTAATGAGTCACAGGGGTTAGTATGCCAAATCATAAGTCACTGGAGTCAATAGAAGTTATTTTCTTTCTGTTTTCTTCATTTTAGATTGTTATAATTACGGGGATATCCTAAGAGAGTTATGAGTAGTAGGTGACTCACCTGTGCTTTATAGGTATAGTGATTACAGCTCCTGAAGCGTTTTCAAGTATCTTTATTTTCCCCCCTGCAATACGTGGCATGCGTGCACGCATTTGTGGCTTGCGGTTATGCTCAGACTGATTCAGCAATTTCTTTGTTTCATTTGGGTACTTTTTTTTCCCCCTATTATATACATTGGCTTGTTTTACTAGACAGTAACAGGAAGCCATTATGCAAAGTATTAGCACTCGTTATCTTATCAAGTTCTCTTTTTTTTTTTTTTTTATCATAGGTCATTATATTTCATCTTTTGATGGCCACGCTCTCCATGTAGGATATGTTCTCTTTTTTTTTCTACAGCCAGTTTTGTTCCTGTTCTGCGGGGTTACTTTATCTCTGAACATGCAAATACTTCATGTTGACTCTTCAAGTGACCAAGTAGGGCATGTCAGCCTATCTCCCCCTCCCCTCCCCTTGCAGTGGGACTATCCCCGCACTGCAAAGGTAAACTGCTGCCTAATTTTAAGGATCCCTGCTGATCCCTGCTCACCTTGGCTGATGGTGCTTTTCTTCCCTCCCCTACACTCCGGTTTGTGGACTGTCCCTTGGTGCCCTCATGTATAATGAAGGGCTATGGCGCCTTGCGTTATATGTGATGACCTCGGCGGGCCTAAGGCTGCCGGAGCATAGGGGGGAAGAGGCCGCGGGTGCTGGTCTTGAAGCCTGAGGGAGCGTCAATCAGTTAAATAAAGTCTCCTTGATATTGGCAAGCAGTTAACCCTTGCAGTGTTGGGGCTCCCACTCCAAGGGGAGTATTTTTTGTTGTTGTTACTGGAGATCGGCATTAACTTCCTCCCCGGCATCATATACCCGCCATTCCCTTATCTCTTCCACCAGTCTGTTCAGCTACTATAAGAGCTCATTCACTCAAGCGTGCACATTCTTATGGCGTACATGCCCATGCAGGGACATGCTCCCAGGAGGGATGGGTGCAGCGTGTAATTGTATATAGCACCCTGTACATCCTTATGGGAGGACACAGCTGCATGCTGACCTGAACCTACACGTCTGTGCAAGTCCGAGTGCATGAACTTGTACACAGACGGACACAAATGTCCAGGTTTGGGTAGCCGTGCAGCTGCGTTCTCCTATAAGGATGTACAGGCGGCTGCACACTATTTCACGCTGCCCCTAGCGGGAGCAGGTCTCTGTACAGATGTGCATGCCTGGGTGAACAGAGTGGTGGAAGAGATTAGGGAATAGTGAATATATGATGCTGGGGAGGAAGTTATGCCTATTTCGCCTGTGCCACCACACTACAAGGGTTAACTTCTTGTTATGTTGTGTGAATGAGCCCTAAGCAATGTGAAATAATGTTGTAGGGGAGATGGGGAAGTTAAGGGACCCTCTCACTTTGCCTGTGTAGGAAAAAATAAAGGTCACTTTAAAGTGCAACTCTAGCTAAAAATGGCAGGATCTATTGCACTGCACAGTGCTGCGTATTTAGCATGTTTCAGGTGCTGGGAGCTGGGTGGTATGATCTTCCATTGCCCAGTGAGCAAGCACAGAAGCTGCAGGAAATAGTGTTGCTCACCATCTGGCTGTTCAGACTGGCTGATGTGTGTCTGTGTAAAAGCTGCCTGTCGATCATTTTGGCAGATAAATCAAATATGTGTATTTCACTTCTGCGTAGCTCCGGAGTTCCACTTTAAAGGTCGTATATTTCAAATTGTTCTCTACAGCTCCTGCCAGCAACTATGGCGTTGCCTCAACTAAGCAAGACCAGCAAACGCAGATATCGAAGTACCTGAAGCAGGTGAAAGAGTCCTTGGGGGCCGAAAATTATCAACGCTTTTCCGCAGCCCTCACCTGCTACAAGAAAACAGACAACTACGACACGATGGTGTGCGAGATTGCGGCTTTGCTGACAGAGAAACCGGAGCACTACTCTCTGCTGAGAGGTGAGAGGATGCAGTAGATTTTTTAACTTTTACATATTATCAAGTAGTCAATGAACCTTTAAACAAGCCCTCACTGACCTCTGTAGCTGCAGACGCTGTGGAGCAGTTTAGCAAAGTTTTCCTTCTCTGGGTAGGTCACCTCTTCCTGTTTGGTTTAACATTAGTGGCTAGAAGGCTGATGAGTCCTTGCTGGGGGGGCGGGGGGCTGAGTAGCTTAATCTTTATGCTGTTGGCAATGCTGACTCTGCTTTCTTTTATGTTTTGTTTCCGCATTAGAATTTCACAGGTTCGTCCGGGTTCATCACAAGAAAATGTTTAATAAGCTATGTGAGGACTTAACCGGAGGCAGTGCTGGCAAGAAAACTCCTCCAGAGATGCCTCAGTGCAGCAATGGGAGGTCATCAACAGCCACGCTGCAAGACTCTGAAGCATCTGAAGATATCCTCGTTCTGGATACAGCGGATTTTCAACCCATCAAGCCTGAATGTAAGCACAACTTGTAAAATGGTGTTCTTGCCCCTGGAAGAGAGAAGGATACCATAATCTTTGCTGCTCTGCCATGTGCTGCCATCTTCTTTCGATCTTGGCCAAGAAGTTGGGGTTCTGCAAACAAGCAAAGTCCTAACACCAAACGGTCTCACAAGATGGCTGTGAACATTGGAGCAGCATGACGCGGGATAATGCAGGAGTAGGACACTGGGCAATTTGTTTTATTTTGCACACATTATTTATTGTTAATAAATGCTGATGTTGTTTGATACCCCGTTTGTGACAGGTTCTCTTTAGTTTAAAGCACAGCTTACATTATACATTACATTATAAGAAATACAATCTTATATTACACATTAGATTATAACATGTGCTTTAATGAAGGCTACTGCTATCATTCCATATCCCCGCTGACAGGTTCTCTTTAGTTTAAAACAGAGCTTACACTATACATTACATTATAAGAAATACAATCTTATATTACACATTACATTATAACATGTGCTTTAATGATAGCTACTGCTATTCTTTCATATCCCCCCCCCCCTCTGACAGGTTCTCTTTAGTTTGAAGAATACTCATTTTGGTCTAGGGCAGGGGTCTCAAACCTCCGGCCCTCCAGCTGTGGTGGAACTACAAATCCCACGAGGCATTGCAAGATTCTCACAGCCACAGACATGACTCCCGAAGAGAGATGCCTCATGGGATTTGTAGTTTCACCACAGCTGGAGGGCCGGAGGTTTGAGACCCCTGGTCTAGGGTGTAAAATACTTACACCTTAATCAAAAACCAGCACTTAAGCCTTGCAGCACAGGGGTAGCCCTACTGCAAGGGTTAATTTTTTCATCTTTAAAGCACAGCTTACATGATGCATTACTTTATAACAAATGCTGTATGCACAATAATCTATAACACGTCACATTACAGTGTTTGTGCGTTAACGGTAGCACCTACTTTCATGTGACACCAGCTCCCTAGCTGACTAGAAAAATGTCTCATTTGTTTGGCAAGAACACAGAGCTTCGCAGTATGCTGTTTATAGTCTCAGACGATATGTTGAAAGCTTCTGTCTGACATTAACCCTAAAAAGCGAAAATGACAGAATAGGAGAGTCAATCCACGGAGGCGGCTGCTTCCCATGCCAGCTGCATGCCAAGCTGTCCATGTCACAGACTTCTTCACAGACGGAGTATTTACCATAATATAAAGTTAAAGCTGAACTCCGGCAGAAGCAAATATTATCTAAATGTGTATTTCTGCCAGATCTGTGCAGTAATCCAGTGTAATAAAGACCGGTCACTGCTGCCCTCTCTCCTTGTGCAGGGTGACTGGTCTTGTCTCCGCCCCCTCCTGTAATAAAGACCGGTCACTGTTGCCCTCTCTCCTTGTGCAGGGTGACTGGTCTTGTCTCCGCCCCCTCCTGTAATAAAGACCGCTCACTGCTGCTCTCCTTGTGCAGGGGGACTGGTCTTGTCTCCGCCCCCCTCCTGTAATAAAGACTGGTCACTGCTGCTCTCTCTCCTTGTACAGGGTGACTGGTCTTGTCTCTGCCCCTTCCTGTAATAAAGACTGGTCACTGCTGCTCTCTCTCCTTGTACAGGGTGACTGGTCTTGTCTCTGCCCCTTCCTGTAATAAAGACTGGTCACTGCTGCTCTCTCTCCTTGTGCAGGATGACTGGTCTTGTCTCTGCCCCTTCCTGTAATAAAGACTGCTCACTGCTGCTCTCTCCCTGTGCCGGGTGACTGGTCTTGCCTATGCCCCCTCCTGTAGTTTTCCGTAGGCAGCCTGTAGTAGGTGGAGCCTGCTGGGACCCCTCACAGTTCTGCTCTCTGCACAGGCTATGTGCAGCACAATAATAATGCCGCTGCTGCTTTTAGAAGGTAATTTCTGGGCTTGCAAAGGTGTTTGGTGGATTCATTGTAAATTTATTTCCTCTTAAGCTATTTATAAATATATTTCAATAAAAGTTTTTGTGCCTGGAGTTCAGCTTTAAATGTTATATTGGGTGACAACAATGAGTGATAAGACCTTATCTGTTTGACCTTGATCTCACTTTGGTTGTCTCTTCCCTCTGCTAAGTTGGCCAAGCTGAAAATCCCAATGAGGATGAAGAGCGGATATATCCACTTCCTTTTAGGAGTATAGGTAGGTCCGTGTTTGTCAGTGCTGAATGCATTCATTGAGCTTATGTAAATGATATATTATGCTTGCAGTTTAATTTAAAAAAAACATACGTTCTAGGTCTTTTGCTGCTGCTGCACGATACGATTTGGGTTTCGGCATTCACGGAATGCGCAGCTGTTAGGACAGCCCAGTTCCAAAAGCTGTCCTGATCACCTGGTCATGTGACATATTACTTCAGCAATCTCTGCCTTGCAGTCTGGGTCAGAGGTGAGCAAACTCCGGCCCTCCAGCTATTGTGGAACTACAAGTCCCATGAGGCATTTCAAGATTCTCACAGACATGACTCCCGGAGAGAGATGCATTATGGGATTTGTAGTAGAGGGCCGGAGCTAGCCCACCTCTGGGCTGTAAAGAAGCTTCAGAACAGATCTTTGTACTGCAGTGTTCATATATTTAGAGTGGCTGTTGCAAGAAATGCATCAGATTCAAATATTGATGAGGCTGGTATCAACAGGCCCTGGAAACCTGTCAAAGAGAGAGCACTGACAATGTGCTCGATTACCACCATGTGACCAGTCACCAATTGTTCCTCATTGATATTAAAAAATACATATTGTATCAAATGTATTTTCAAATAAAGCTTTTTTTTTTTTTTTAAAGCATGGGACTAAATCAGATCAAATGTACACCTAGGGGTGTATTTATAAATGTTTTCACTCAAGATTCACCCATCTTTTCAATGAAATCCATTTAGCATCTTGGGTGAAAACTTTTTGTAAATGGACACTTTAAAGAGGAGGTTCACAAGCCCTCCCTCCTTTTTCATTTTAATCCCTCTTACCTGGTGGGCAGAGTTGTCCTCAATTCACATGCTTGCCTGTCCATTGAAGCCAGCGTGGCCCTGCTGCAATCCGCTGCCACAGACTGGGTCTTGCACCACTATCTTGGTTCTAATCAGTCATTGGGAGCCGGCTGCCCCTTTTGGGTTTCTTGCAGCTGTCCCTCCATGGCACGCATTAGGTCCGACCACTGTGTGTCTTTACTCCTGCAGCCTCCTGGACTATATGAGGGGGGATATCACAGCATGGAGTTAGCAGGTACACCACCATCCTCCTAGGCGAGGATGGTGGTGGGGTGGCAGGGAGCAAAACAAACAAAATATATATATATATCAGTTTAACTGTACAGGGGGTTGGGGTTAGCAGGACCATGTTATTTTCATCTAGGCGGTGGGATGGCTGGGAGCAGAAAAATACATTTAATATAAAATAGAAGAACAACAATATACAATTAAAAAAGAACTTGTAACACAAGAAAATAATTGTTTTTTTTAAATACAATCAAGAATTTATATCAAACCTAAAAACAGTCCATGTCAATTAATACCGTGTGTGTCCAACATGGTAACATTTGATACGTCTCAGCATGTCATCGCTGAGTAAATCTGAACCAGAAAAAGCAACTCTTCATTTGATTATGATAGAGTGGGGGGGATTACCTTGCTCTGCATGGGCCATGATGTCTGAAGGGGGAGTGCTGAGAGATATCATATAGGACAGGGGTAGGCAACCTCAGCATTGTAGCTGTTGTGGAACTACAAGTCCCATAAGGCATTGCAAGCCTCCGGCAGCCACAGGCATGACTCCCAGAGGCAGGGTGGAATTTGTAGTTTCAACCCAGCTGGAGTGCCGAGATTGCCTACCCCTGATTTGGGGTGGTGATGACAGGTTTATCTGCCACGTCTTTAATATGTGGCTTGTATTTGTTGCAATAAATACTATCCTTGTCGCACTCCTTACCGATATATCCCTTGTAGTGGGGGGGGCTCGCAGTGACCGCGGATGGCGCAGCAAATGTCAGCAGGATTGTAGAAATGTCACCAGCACACCAGTCCTTTGCATTTGTTGCACACACATATACCACTACTGGTGCCCACAGATTCATGTGGAATAGTAACTTGATTGTTATGACTGTGGCGGTGGGACTAGGAAGTAATATTTCCTCCTTGATGGTCCATTTTGTTTCATCTTCCTCAAGGCTGCCAGGGATTGAAAAGTTGAACTTGATGTATGAGTGTCTTTTGTTTCATCGTAGTGAACTACGCAACAAACTGAAACCCCCCCACACTGTGTCTGCAAATTGAAGTACGTGTGCTAAAGGTTTGTCAAATTCAAGAGAAGTTCAGAGGAAAAGCTCAATAGATGACATGTAAATGTATGTTTACTCAGTTTCCAGAATACAAAAAGTGCGGTCTCTTCCGAGCTCGTTCACAATAAAACTGATAGCGCTCATTAGCCATTAGCAGGATTTCATAGGAAATTTTTAAACGTTTTACACTGGAAAAAGTCTATAGACCTGCTTATCAGTCAACGTGATTGTATCTTGTCCTGCAGAGGCCAGCTTACAGCGTAGTCAAGTGCAGTTAAAGGGAACCTGTCATTTTACCTATAAATCTACTGTTCCCTTTTCTTTTATTTTACTTGTTTCTTCTGCAGCATTGTCACCAGGATAATCTCAGGCTTCATTCACACAGGATGTGCTGCCCTGTACAGCGTGAAGGGATGTTTTTTCATGTGCCCAGAGGTGCAGGAAGAAGCGTGCGGGCAGCTCATGTAAGTGAGGAACTGTGCGCCCTCACACGCCGCTTCCTGCAGCTCCGACCGAAGGTGTTCGGCCCTCGGAGGCTGACGTGATGGATCCAGGTACGTGCACCGTCTGGGCGTGGCCGTCAAAACTCAGAGCTGGGGGAAGCAGCGTGTGTGGGTGCACAGCTCCTGCATCTCCATAGACTTGCATAAGCTGCCCGCACGCTTCTTTCTGCTGCTTGATAAACATCCCTTCATGCTGTACGTGGTAACACGCCCCATGTGATTGAGGCTTCAGCTCAGGGGTGTCAAACTCAATTTCATCGAGGGACGCATCAACATTATGGTTGCCC